GATTCATAATGACTTAATGCAAAGAGCTCCAGACAGAAGGTGAGGTTTTAAATTTAGTACTTATAACCTCCTAGGAAGTGAAACTTTGGGGTTATGTAGATGTGTATGGTTTCAGCTTCCTTTCTATAATAGGAGGGACCTGGAAGGTCTGTAAAAGAAGTTTTGTCTATCTTCAGAGTCATTAGCCAGGGTCCATTATTCACTTCTTATTTTTGACTATATATTTTAATCTTTGAATTCCTGAAGTACACTCATACCATCCATGTTACTTTCTGTTTAACTGATAGGATTTTCTTCCCCATGACTACTCATCAAGTCGAAAACCTGTTTTTCAGTTGTAGTTTTCTATAACTTCAAAAATGTATTCTTATGTTAAGCATATCCTGTGCTCCTTGTTCTTGCCAGGAGTCATTTAAGCTCCCATGTCAAAATTGCTGTATACCTTATGCAAATGTTTAAAAATGAAATTGATTTTATATTCTGCTAAGAAAGGATCTACCAGATGTAAAGTGGGAAAAGAAAAGCAAAGTTCAAAATAAATTGTAGTAAATGTGTAAGAGTTTAAAGAGGATTTATATATTATTAAAATTACGACTTATTTTTGTGTGAATTACAATTTCACGTAGTTCATACCCATTTTTCTCTTATCAGCTTGTTTTAACTAGCCTGAGAATATTATAAATTGGGAATTTGACTATGTTATTTTACTCTCCTTTTCTTTCTTTCTTTGTGATATTGTTTGCTTATCATATTTTAGCTTTTAGATAGTATAAATTTATCAAATTTTTTGTTTGTGGCTTTGGGTTTTTTGTTACAAGGGCCTTCCTAGAATCTATTGATTTTTAAAATTTTGAATCTTTTATTTATTGATTTGTGTGTATGTAAATCCATTTTCTTTTTCCTCAATATTTATCTAAATGTCCCAATAGTATTTAAAGTAATCCATTTATTCCTCTATTTGTAATTTTCTAAACGGTAGACCTATTTTTGGAATATACGTCTGTGTCTTTTTTTGTCTGGGTTATTGTGGCTTTAAATGAAACTTTAATGTTTGGGTTAGGGGTAGTATATTCTAGTTACCTTCTACTCCCATTTAAAAGTTTCCTTTTTTAATACTTTCTTGTATGTTTTTAAGATACACTTTGGTGTAATTTTATTAAGAGTACCACTTTTCCTTCAACAGAATCGTTTAGTATTTTAATGGAATCTCATTTAGGGATAGTGTATTGAAAATTTTACAGTATCAAGACACCCTAAGAATGTGAAGTGTTTTTTATTTTCTTATATATTCTATTTATATTTATTTATTAGTCAAATTTCAAAGATTTCTGCATATTTTTGTTGTTGTTGAGGGCATTTCTAGGGTTTTATTTTTTGAATGCTGCTGTTAGAATATTTTTTGTCTTTTATTTTCCAGCTGCTTGTTTTATCTGCAAAGGTTGATTATTGGTTAATTGCCACCTTATTGAATCTTTGAGTTTTTAAATTTAGGCTAGATTGCATTTGAAAAATGATTTCTTAAAATATTGCTTCCACTGTTTAAGGAGTCCTGCTGTTCCCTTAATCTCCTCCCTTATCTCCAGTTTACACATATTGAGATTCTTGGGTTTTTACTATGTGATGTTCTGTTCGTTTCTTCTGGGAGAACGTTCTAAGATATTTTAATGACATGTAAGATGTGTTACAGTGTCTTGTTACTTATGATTATTTTAATTAATTAATTATTTTTTATCCTCACCCCGGGACATTTTTGCATTTATCTTCAGATAGAGCAGGAGGGAGAGAGAGGGGAAGAGAGAAGGGGGGGGGACTTTGATGTGAGAGAGACACATTGACTGGTTGCCACCCACACGACCCCAACCAGGGCAGGGACAAACTGCAACTGAGGTATGTGCCCTTAGCGGAAACCAAACCTGGGACTCTGTGGTCCATAGGCCAGTGCTCTAACCGCTGAGCCAAACTGGCCAGGGCAGTTATTGTAATTTATAGTTAAGAGTTTCAAATGTAGACATTTTGGATTGTGTGAATGAACAAATTAAGGGACCATTTTATAAAGATGCCTTGGAATCTTCTATGTTTGCATATGTATGCAAAGATGAAAAATAAATGTGAAAAGTTTCGTTATGAGAAATATGGTTCCTGGACCAGATGAGGGTGAATAGGAAGAGAGAGAAAATCCCCAAAGGTTGGAGTACCATGAGAAAGACAAAGTTATGGAGACTTAAAGCATTAAACCCCCCTCCTCCCATGCTATGTGCAGACAAATATGGCCACGATTATTTCCAACCCTGCTGTTTTGGGTCTCTCGAGTATAATGGGTCCCACTGTTATTCTGGTGACTTAGAGAGTACAGAAATGTCTTGAAAAGTATTGACTTAGTTCTGCATCAAATGGACAATTTAATAGTGATATGGCCACTAAAAAGTACCTTATCCGTAGCATTAGGGTTTGGGGATTGGAACATACTTATTAACTGTTCATTACAGTCCAGATGTACTTTAAGAACTGGTTGTCAGGCCCTTAATCCATTTACACTTATGCCTAAAGGATTTAAGCAGTAAGAGTAGGTGTCTAGAGCTTTATATTTTTCTTAAAGTTTGTGAAAAATGTGCACCCAAACAAAGCTGATACTGATATGGTGGAAGTAAAGTGGGATGGGGTGGGAAGAGGTATAAGCATTGATTTTTAGATAGGGAAAAAAAAGGAGTTTATTATATAATGAAGAGTAGAATTTCCCAGTGACTTAGAGCTCTGGTTTGAACTAATCCACTGTATAAATATACAGAAATGGTAAGGATTGACATAACAACACATTCCAAATTCTGAAAGTTGTTTGTAAAAGACTAGAAAATGTTACTGAAAGTTGGAAGTATGACTGACCTCTGATGGCAAGATACGTTTTACTCTAATATTCATAACTTTAAAATTCTCAGTTTTTGAAATATTACTTAGAAATGCCAAGGGTATAATAAAGATAGATGTGCTGATAACAACTGAAAGTGCTGACCAAACATGATTGATGAAAGTAGATGTGTGGGTGAACTAGTAGAAATAGAGAAACTGGCCAGGAAATCATTATTATAGTATGGTCAGATAACCAGAGTTTGTATTTAAATGGCAATTCTTAATTTTTAGCTTTGGGAGGAGAGAGAGGAATGAAGAATGTGTCCAGAACTGTAAGAGAGGAACTACTTTAGCACCCTTGAAGAGATAGGAACTGTTAAGTCCTCACTTAACATCATCGATAGGTTCTTGGAAACTGTGGCTTGAAGCAATACTTTCTATAACAAAACCAATTTTAACCATAGGCTAATTGAGTTAACAAAAGTTCCTAAAGCATATTTCTGATCAGAAAAATGTTACCAGACTTAAGACTGAAAACACATTTAATACTAAACCTTGAAATAAATGTGAGCTATACGGACATTTAAGAAAGATTGATAAAAAATGGTTTTCCAACTTTCTTCCAGTTCAGGTTGCGGGGGTGGGGTGGCTGGAGCCTATTCTGGCAGCTCAGGGCGCAAAGCATGGACCAGCCCTAGACTGGAAGCCCTTCCATCGCAGGGTGCACTCATACACACCCACACTCACTCAGACTGGGACAGTTGCACCTCGTGCACATCTTCAGGATGTGGGAGGAACTGTGTACCTAGAGAAAAATACACAGATGCGGGGAGAACAAGCCAACTCCACACTGGAGTAGCCCTGGATGCAATCGATTTTTTCTTCTCCTTCTTAACGTTAAAATGAAACAGTGCTATTCGAGGACCTGCTGTGCTGTATCCTGAATTTTAGGCCTCATATGAGGATGTTTGCATTGAAATAACCCATAGCACACCAGTAAATCAGGTTATAGGTATTTAAAGCTGGAGAGAAATCAGGGTAAAATTGCAAAATCATATAATTGAGTAGTAAATGTGGGAAGAAGGGCACTGAGAGACCATTTGTCTACATTCTGTGATTGGTGATTTCTTTAGTATTAAAGAAAATGAAATAATTGTATTTTCAGCCTCATCTGTTACCCTCATTTCTCCAAGTTGGAAAGATTTTTCTGGGGTGGTATTGGTGATCTTGCTTTTATTGGTTTTTCCATTGTCATTTTGTTTCATAGTCTTTGGTTTTCCAGTTTGCTTAGAATAATGTCTTAAGACACAGTAAATAAATATTAGTTGTTGTTGCTTTTCTAAAAAATCACTCTTCTTTATCTGTCTTATGAATTTCCCAAATTTTGTGGCGGTTTTTTTCTCTATTGGCTTTTTTTTTTTTTTTTTTTGGTGGGTTTATGCCTGAAAATCTTTTTAGTATTATTTAATGGACTTTGGAAAGGGAGATGAGGCAAACAGATGTGTTAATTTCTGCCATGTTTTAACCAGATACTGCAAATGTGTGTGTGTGTTTAGCTAGTTTTTAGTGCATCTTATGGAGTCTAGTGTGGTCTTTATGTTTTAGAAAACTATTTTCTAAGTACGTAGTGTTTCAAAGTGTGTGTGTAAGCATTTTACTAAGGTTGAGAACTTTGCAGTTCTGATTTACAGAAATATAAAGTGTCATTTAATGTCAGTTGTAGTCATGCAGGTGCCAAGGACTGCTTGCCCAAGGGTACATGGTAGGAGAGCAAGGGTTCAAGCAATAGTTGTTCTACATTCAAGTCCTTTGCTCTTTCTTGAGTATGTTAGGTTTATCGTTTCTTTCAGCTGTATTCATCAAATGAAAATAGAGTAATTTTAAGGCTAGAAAATGACTGCTGATTTTTACTGAGAATCTATATGTGAAACAGGTTATGGTACTGTGTGAAAACAGTTCAGAGAAGTTAAGTAAATTCCAAGGTCATACATTTCACAAATGATAGAAACAGAAATCAAACTCAGATTTGCTAATTCTGAGCTCTGTGTTCTTTTCACTACTACACATTTTCTTTATGTCTAATATTGCCTTTTAGAGTTAACATAATGTTTACTTGAATATTGATACGCTTTTAATAATGTTTTTGTTTTTTGTAGGGATTTATCAAAGATGTTCATGAAGACTCCCTCACAGTTGTTTTCGAGAACAAGTAAGTTATTTTTTATTGATATAGACCTTAATTTTAAAGATGGGTAGTGCCAAACAATTTGCTTTTGGTTCTTTCTATTGCCAGTGAAATGACTTTACTTTTGGGAGGGCTTTTGATGGCTTGATCATGTTATGAATAAGTTCAAATAATTCTAGTTTTAATAACTCTTTGCCTGTTTTTCTGCCCAGACTTGACTCAATATTTTATTTTCATGACCCTTTTCTTTGCCAAAACACACGTGAACATGAATCACCAGGTAGTTTTTGCAAAAATAGATGGCACAGATGGGATTATAATATGCTTAATTCTTTAAAAAGCAAATGTTGAAATGATGTTGTAGAAGGCCTTTTAAGTGGTCTTGGTAGTCAGAATAAGTATTAAGTCAATTTCAAATTGCTCATTAAGCAATATTAATTTTATAGATATTGTAATGGCTAGGTAATATTCTAAAATGGAAAGACTATGCTGGACGTGGTTAGAAAGGGTTAGAAAGGAGCACTGTATAACTGAAGGTCAGAAAAAGAACTGTTCAACTTTCACTTTTAAGTTGCTCTGGAACTGCCTGAAAAGGTATCTATCTGCCCAACAGCTGTTTCATGTAGAAACAAGTGTTGTGATGATTTCTGTCTTTGAGCAGCTGCCATTTAGACAGTAATGATGAAAAGCGCTGTTTATGTGTGTGTCGTGCATCCCGTGCAGATAGATACTATAGGAACATTTTATATGCTGGTATATCTCCTAGGTATATGAATGACCAGTTAGAACTTGAAGTTATTCATCAGCTCAGCTTATAAAATACATCATAAAAAAGATCAATTAGGCAATAGCTAAATTAGTAACTTTGATACATATTTACTGTAAACATTAAAAGTAAGCTTTTACTAGGCTTTAATTATATATGTGTTCATTGTAGAAAAGATAAAATTGTGAGAAAATTAAAATTATGTAATTCAGCTATTCAAAATAATTGAGTAATTTCTGTATTTCTGTGAATATGTGCACTAAAAAAGAATTATGCCGGTTATATTTTTTATAATCTCTGGAATTATGTTTCAAATAGTTGTAAATGTGTTTGAAATAAGTTGATTCCACTGTTAATTTGACAGTGGTGTAGATGTGATATTATTTTGAATCTAAGTTACTACTGTGAATATAGTCTATATCATTTGCAGAATAATGTATGTACCTATTCCCTTAAGATGAGTAATCTGACAGGTAATCTAATTATTTTCAACACGGTTAATTATTTATAAATTTCATCAAGACTTATGCAAAATTTTTTCTGCCTCAACAAACTACTTGGAAAATGTGTAATTATGAATGTTGTTTTTTCCTTAGGGAAAGCTAAGTGATTAATTTGAAAAATACACAGCACTTAGCATAGATTATAGCTTCCATTTTTGAGGGTATTAAGACAAATATTTTGAAATTTTTAATTCCTCTTCTAATCCTTCAGTTGGCAACCAGAACGTCAGGTTCCATTTAATGAAGTTAGATTACCACCATCACCTGATATAAAAAAAGAAATTAGTGAAGGAGATGAAGTAGAGGTATGTATTTGTAAGTTTTCTTGTGTGCCTATTATTTTAAATAAATATTCCTGTAGGAAAATCTGTTTTGCTGATTGAGAATAAATTGAATTCCTTTTTTTTTTTTCTGTTGATGGTGACTATATAAGTAGCAATGCTTGAGTTTTGGAGTCACAACTTGGGGGGCGGTATACAGAAGGGAAGGGAGAGAGGGAGGTGTGGGGGCGAGAGAGAAACCTCAATGTGAGAAAGACACATCAATCAATTGGCTGCCTCCTGCATGACCCTGACTGGGGTTGGGAATCAGGCCTGCAACCCAGGTATGTGCCCTATATCAGGAATCCAACCTGTGACCCCTTGGTCCTGATGACCCTCCAACCTCTGAGCCAAACTGGCCAGAGCTCAACTCTTCTGTTTTTAGCTTTGTGCCTTGGTCAAGTTTCTTTATCAGTAAAATGAAAATAATGAAATGTGAGAGTTAAGGATGATAGTGCATTTGAATTGCTTTGCACAGAATCTGGCACAGAACTAATGTTTGCTGTTTTCCTTCTTTTTCCTAATTACTTAAAAATTTTTCTTGTGCTTTTTTTTTTCTCAGTATCTTTGTTAAATACTAATTATCACCCTTTATTGTAGTGATAATTAATATAGTTTATATGTAATGTGAAATACTGTAATTAGTATACTACCTTGTTGAATATTCTAGAAATATCTGGAAATCTTTAAAATTACAGGAAAAACAAAAAGGTAAAAAACAAAAATCACTGCCCAGAGATAAAAACCACTGTTCATGTACTACATACTATTCCCAGGCTCTCCTTTGCCCCTTCTTTTAAAAATAAAAATGAGATGATTTGTACTGCTCCTTTATGTCTTGCTTTTCTCACATTTAATAGGTCTAATCTTTGATCTGTCTTCAATATGTTAATGTTGATTAATATGCCTATTGTTCTGTAGAAAGAAAATTGAAATCATTGTCAAATAATGATGTGATGAGTTTGTTAGAGATAGAAAATTCGACTTTTGATTAACACAATTTCTCAGATATTTAGCTCAGATATGCTAAATACGTTTATTCCAAGGGGTTGGCTCCATAGTATTGAAAGAGAGATTTTCACCCAGCTAGTGTGGCTCAGTGTTTGTCAACCCATGCATCAAGAGGTCACGGGTTCGATTCCTGGTCAGGGCACATGCCCAGGTCCCTAGTGGGGGGTGGGCAAGAGGCAGCCGATCAATGTTTCTCTCTCATATCTCTCTCTCTCTCTCTTTCTCTCTCTCTCCCTCCCTCCCAGACTATTTGAAGGTAAATAGAAAAATATCCTCTGGTGAGGATTAAAAAAAAACTGAGAATACATTATATATTTATGATTTCTGTTTTCAGTTCATTGGGGTATTACAGACATTTTTGTGTCTGGAACATACAGATTGCCATTTTTTCTAACCACCCCATAATGTTCCTTAGTACAGATATATCGTGATTAGAAGATAATGAAATTGACAGATTTTTTTTTTTTTTTTTGCTATTATAAAAAGAAAGAGCCAGCCCTGGCCAGTTTGGCTCAGTGGTTAGGCTATCAGCAAGAGGACCGAAGGGTAGAGGGTTTGATTCCTGGTGAAGGGGTACGTACCTGGCTTGCAGGTTCTATCCCCAGCCCAGGTCAGGGTTAGGTGGGAGGCTACCAGTTGATGATGTGTCTCTCACACTGATGTGTGCCACCCCCCCCCCCCCAAATCTTCCCACTCTTATCTAAAAAACAGTGGGTTCTTTATATTCTCTTGAGCTAGTTATATAATGTTTTGGGATACTGGAAGGGCAGTAGAAATCATTCCTGTGATTTCACGTGAGGTGTGCTTTGTCTTTTGTTACAGATATGTGCCTTGTTTAGCAAGTTAACACACACACACACATACACACTTGGATTTAACATATTTGATAATAAAAATGTTTATTTTTGAATTGTGGAGTTTTCTGCTTGAAATAAGAATTGGCAAGTTTTATTTTTATGATATATGCCTTCTATCTTTTATAGCAGATTATCAGACATTATGGTTATTCATTCATCTTTATATTTTCATTATAACATTGGGATAGGTACCTTGAGAGAAATTAGATAAAAGAAGTAAGAATAATTTGAGATAGGACAGTCTTACCTTGCAATTTTTTTAATTCAATATTTATTGTTTACATACTACCTTTAATAATGTTTCAGTTTGATTCTGCGACCAATTTGAAAATTTTGGCTGCTGTAGTTAGTCTTTCTCCTAATACCAAGTCCATTATTAGTCTTAGTGCTTGGGAAATGCTTAAACATTAAAAAAGAAGTGAACATAATATTTTTATTATATCTTTGTCTTGGAAAATGGCCAGTTTTTAAGACTTATGAACCCCATTAGTTAGTGATCAGCCACAGATATGAATGTGATAATATTGTACAGGTAGGTACATTAGTGTGTTATAGATGTTAAGCTTGCTTTTCTAATGTACATTTTTTTATTTCTTCATAGATTGTAATGAGATGAAATGGTGAATATAGGGGAATGAGAAATGTATCTCATGTAGTTGTAAAATGAGTCATTATGATTACGTATTCAGTTTAGTGCTTAGCATTATTTAGAAATTTTCTTTATAGTTTGGTGAAAACTGGTAAAAAAATTTTTCTACCTCTGGTGTGTATTATCTCTATTTGGTTGTGACTTTGAAAGGCATAGTTGAACATTATTAACGCGATTGAAAAGTTAGCAACATCAGACTGGAATTTCATTTAAGTCACAATTTGGTGTGTGCTGCAATTTGGAGACATTTTATAATAAAGTTTGACTTGGAGTTATTAGGTAGAATGAATCTTTAAATAGGCTTTTGGAATTTGATTCTTCATTTTCTGTCCTTCACTCCATAAAACTATAACCTTCAATCTGAGTACTATTATGTTTTTAGGTCTCCCATAGGCACTCCTTAGTTGCCTGCTTTTTTGAGCTCTTTTATGGATTTGAAGAAATGTACAGTGTTAAAGCAAGTGGGCCATAGCTTTAGTGTGTGAAAGCAAGGAGGGCCATAGCTTGGTTTAGAGTGTGAATTGCTCCCTTGAAATAGTTTGGGGATTTAAGTGAAATCTGAAGAAAGGGAATTTCTATGAGGTTGTCTTATTCCAATGACATCGCAAGCCATATTACTGGAAGGTTGTGCTTTGGTAAAAACAGAATTAGAACAAAGGGATTTAGGTAGTTTTAAGACCTGTTTTTTTCAGCATTTGTGTTTAAGGCATTCTTTCACTATAGATCACTAAGAGATACTTCATCTTGCTGAACTGCCTTCCTGAGATAGTGCTTGGAGTTGGCAAGAACTTTCTGTTCTTAGGGTTTTCTTTTTGTTTTTATAATCCTCAGTATACTAGGAAAAATAGTCATAATTTATCATGTGGGCCCAATAATCCATATTCACTGGTTTAAAAAATATTTTTAAGTCATTTTACATACAATTTTTAGAAGTAAAAATGACAGGATGGCAATGATCAACATTATAAGATATCTTAATAAGCATTTAAACATAGTACATCTAACTCTTTTATTCAGTATTTTTTTTGTTTTGATAATACATATACCTAATAATGTTCCCTAAATTACTGCTCACCAGCTATCATACATAAACTCAAAACATCCATCTTATAAATACGAATCTCAAATTTAAAATACATTTCTAGTAAGTTCTGATTTATTACGTCTTTGGGTTCATTTTACACATGAGTTATCAGATTGTAATACATTAAGAATAGTTGGAACTGTTGGTAGCTTCTAATTTTATTGAACAAAGCATAGTCATCTTTGTGCTTTAATTACACCATCTTTTAAAAAACTTGCACTGTTTTCATATTTAACCAATTGGATTGACTAACCCACTGAATTTTTTGCATTACTTCTTCATCTGTTTCTTTCTGGTCATCTTTGTATACACATCTATCTACCTGTGGCATTTGGCCACTTACTAACTTAATTGAGTATGTTTTGGTGTGCAAACATAAAAGGTAAAACAATACTGTTGTGTGTCAGTGTAGAAAAACAAGAATGGTCCAGATACTTGTTGCAGGATTTTGTATAATGGAATCCCAGTTGAATATTATAACTGGGTGAGAATACTAAATTTCCTTTTTTCTCCTTAGAAATGTAGTGTTTGGGGATATTGATTTAGGATGTTGTCATTTGAAGACTTTGTCTGAAATTCTGCTTATAAGATAATTTCACATTGATCATTAGATTCTGGAATGCTGTTGGCTCTGTGGATCAGTCTGATTCCTCTAATCATCGTGCAAGTCCTTCCTCTGTAAATTTTCTTCTCTTGGCAATTATGGGTTGAAAATAAAAATTCTGAATTCTTAAATGTTTAGCAGTGGCCAAAAAGCAGACTACAAGAATGTTGTTTATAGTCTTTTGTATATTTCCTTGAAAGACTATGCAATAAACTAGAGGATGATATGGTAGTAGTGATACATTTCACTGTTGTATCTTTCCAGGTAATACCATCATTTTTCTGTTTCTTTAGATTTTTAAAAAGTCATAGTTGGAAATAATTGAATGATGATGAAATAGCAGAGGGTTTATCAAGATGAGGAAAAATGTGATCATTAGATTCTACCTTAGATTTATAAAAGGACCCACTAGATACATATACTAATATCAAGATAGAGTAATTTTGTTTTCCTAAAAAATTAATTTGTTTTGGAAGACCTATGAGAAAGGATAAAAGTCAAAATAGTTAGATATGCTCATAAAATAAATGCAAAAGCTAAAATTTGAGTACCCTGGAGCCTAATTGGTATTAACACCCCCCCCCGCCCCATAGCCTTTTTCTAATGGCGTACGATAAAGTTTATAATGTTTTGGCTTATTCATTTATGGTTTCAATATTCTACCACTTCCAAAATCAGTCTCAGATCATCTTTATAAGAAGCTTCAAGCTTTTCAAAACTATTTGTGTATTAATAGTTTGCATTTATCTCACAGATAGCTGTTAACGTGTATTGATAGATTTCTCTAGCCACTGATGGTAGGGGTAACCTTGGTTTAGTCATCTCTACTTAGCACCTGACCCACCCCACCCCAGTTTTCCATGTATTAAAAATACATTTTAAAAGCTGCTCTATCATAAGAAATATCTGCAATCCCTAATGAAAGCTTTTCTAATGTACAATGTTAAAAACAAAAACACCTGATGATTCCAGATACAGAGCATATAAGACATACTTTTTTTAGATAGGAGGTTTTGTAAGATATTTATGTACTCTGCTAGATGTACTAATGTGTGTAATTTTTTGTTCAGCTAAACACTCAGTACATTTGATCTAGGTTCTTCAGCAAGGGGTCTAAATGTCATATCCTTGAAGGAATTTTAAGTTCTAGCTTACTTTTTTGCTACCTGAACCATCAAAATACAATGTCTGAAGATGAACAATGTTAACAGAAACTGAAAGACCTGTTTTATACTGTGTAAAACTGCCTTGAAAGAAGCATTGCTTTAATATTTGTTCAGTAAACCCTCATGAACTTGAATTTGATTTTCAAGGAGCCAAATTGCCCAGAAAGGTTCTTTATTTTTTTAGTAGTAAAAATTTAGGCTTACGTAACTCTTTTTTATTAAACTATGTTTAGTACACCAATTTCAGTACAATAACATTTTTGATTCTTAAGTTTATTGGGACTTGGCGTTTATAATAAGTTATTTACAGTGTTGAAATCTTTTAGGATGAATGGTTGAGGGCATTTTTTTTTTCCTTCTCAGGTATATTCAAGAGCAAATGACCAAGAACCTTGTGGATGGTGGTTGGCTAAAGTTCGAATGATGAAAGGAGAAGTAAGTGATGTTAACACTTTGTGACTAGTTTCCAGCGAAGTGCCTCCAATTCTTGGTTTCTGTAAATGTTACTCCAACCGTTTTGTTTCTAAAAGCCTACTTTAGAAATAGTTGATCACACATTTAAAAAAATCATCACCATTAATTTCTGTTTGTATTCTGCATTTGTAAACACCAAGGCTACTCTCCAGTGGTACACCCTGAGCATGTGAGGACTACCAAGGTTCATGCTGTAAAAACCTATAATCTACTTTAGGCAAATCAGTTTGATGTAACTAAGCTGTGCTTAGTATTTGTGCCACAAGGGGGAGGGTCTACTGTTTAAGCTGAGCAGTGTAATTAGAACTTCATTTAAAGCTTATTATTTTTGTTCAGATGGGATTTTTATAGTATTTTGATGTCTTTTAGTTTTATGTCATTGAATATGCTGCTTGTGATGCCACTTACAATGAAATAGTCACATTTGAACGACTTCGGCCTGTCAATCAAAATAAAACTGTCAAAAAAAATACCTTCTTTAAATGCACAGTGGATGTTCCTGAAGATTTGAGAGAGGCGTGAGTAATTTTGTTTACTATTGAATTGTTTTGTGAATTCAGAGGATTTTTAAGTGCTACAAAAATCTTTTTTCCCCAAACACCCAGTTATAAACTTCTGATTAAAAATCTTTTTAATGAACAAAAGTTTTAATGGGTGGTGTCAAAATGAAATACTGGGGTTTATATTATAATTGCCCTCTAAATTTAATCTGTTATTTAGGTCTTACACATGAATTAATTTCTCTATAGGTGTGCTAATGAAAATGCACATAAAGATTTTAAGAAAGCAGTAGGAGCTTGCAGAATTTTTTACCATCCAGAAACCACACAACTAATGATACTGGTAAGATAACTCCATATTTTAGGTAATTAATGGATATTGCACATATTTTTTAATAAAATATTTTTTAAAAATAAAAGCTAACTTGGTGTGTAGTGAATTTTCTAATACAGTGTGGGAGAAAAAAATTTTTGTAGTTAAAAATGTTATTTTTGTTTCTTGAGGAAAATTTTAATATGACATTCTTAACATCTTAAAATTCTTAATGTGTGGGGTGTTGCATTCCCTCTCTCCCATCATAATGTGAATAGCAGAATTAAATAATACGGAAATTCTGAAAGGAAAGTAAGATTACTTCTGGGAAAAGGGGAATATGTTAGGTGAGAGAAGTATAGTTGATGAGAATCATGGAATGCTTTATTGTGAAGGCCCCGTTTGTTGTATTGTCTTGAAAAATGATTGTTTTTGAATTAACTTGTTTATTTATAGTCTGCCAGTGAAGCAACTGTGAAGAGAGTAAATATTTTAAGTGACATGCATTTGCGAAGTATTCGTACAAAGTTGATGCTTATGTCCAGAAATGAAGAGGCCACTAAGCATTTGGAAGTAAGTGAATTTACTCATAAAAGGTATTTTGTGTGTCTCTGTTTCATAATCATATTCAAGTTCCCTGGCTCAAAGCTACTTGACTGTTAGGTTAAGGCAACTTAGGACCTAATTTGTGGCTAGTACCTGGAGTCATTGTGTCCTTAGAAGAATTGCTCTTTTTGTATTAGTTTTCTCAATTATACCCTTATTTGTGAAATGCCTGTTGAGTTTTTTTCTTTGGACTTAGATGACAGGTGCCAAAGAGCTTAGAAACTTACTAGGTATATCCAGTAGAACTGTATTGCTAATTCTTCTTTATTCTGTTCTTAATCTTTTTTTTTACTTCCTTCTTCCCTGTCAGTTACAATACACTTCCATTAGTAACTAGATTACTATAACAATTCTTGTGTAAGAGAAGAGTAGGACAGACAACATGTAGTTTTTAAAAAGAGCCTATAGCTGGCTGGTGTGCCTCACTGATTGAGCATCGACTCATGCATCAAGAGGTCGCTGGTTGGATTCCAGGTCAGGGCACATGCCCAACTTATGGGCCCGATCCTCAGGGGGCGGCATGCAGGAGGCAGCCAGTTGATGTTCTCTCTCACGGATGTTTCTATCTTTCTCTCTCGCTCTCCCTTCCTCTCTCTCTAAAAATTAATACAGAAAAAAAATTAAAAACACAATTTAAAAAGAGCCTATAGCTTTTCTGTCCTGTCCTAAGATACTCCTGTTTTCTCCTATTCATCACTGGGAGACTTATTCCTGCTACCCTCCCCCAAACATACATGCATTTACACACTGTATTAGAGAAATTGAGGCATGTTTATCTTTAAGACAACTTTGTGAATGTGCTTCTTAATTTAAAAGTTACAAACAGGATATGCAAATGAGTTTTGAAACATGACTCATCTGAACTGGAGAATTGCTTGTATCAGTTATTCTGGAAAATTGTTTTAGAATTACTCTTTTTCTGTGACCTTGACTAAAGAGACCCATCAAACTTTTTTTTCCCCTTTTCATTTTATGACCCCAAATGAGTTTCCTTTATTACTTTTTTCTTTTTTTTTTTTTTAAGTTGTAGTAAAAGTGACATAACATAAAACTTACCTTCTTAACTATTAAGTTCAGTGTAGTTTCAGTAGTGTTAAGCATATTCAGATGGTTGATCAATCTCTACAACTTTCATCTTACAGAACTGAAACTCTATACCCATTAACCGCCCCCCAATGCAATCTCCATTCTGCTTTCTATTTCTATAAATTTGACGACTTTGGATACCACAGAAAGTGGAATCATATAGCATTAGTATTTTTGTGACTGGCTTATTTCACTAAGCGCATTGCCTTTGATGTTTATTCACATTGTAGCATGTCAGCATTTTTTTTAATACTAAATAATTTTGCATTGTATGAATATATCACATTTTGTTCATCCATTCGTCAGTCTACATAGTTGGGTTGCTTTCACTTCTTGACTTGTGAATAATGCTATGAACATGGGTATACAAAAAGCAAATTTATTTTTGTTTTTTTATAATAAATTCTAATTTATCTCTTTTACTAGTGCACAAAACAACTTGCAGCAGCTTTTCATGAGGAATTTGTTGTGAGAGAAGATTTGATGGGCCTGGCAATAGGAACACATGGTAGTAACATACAGCAAGCTAGGAAGGTTCCTGGAGTTACAGCTATTGAACTAGATGAAGATACTGGAACATTTAGAATCTATGGAGAGGTAAGCTGCTTTCTGTCTCTCACATAGAATAACTTTGCTGTAACATTAACTACCGTTTGATCACATTTATATGGGATTTCATTTTGACAGTGCAAACACTTTAAAATCAGTCAACTTAGTAGTTATTATACATATATGCGTGTGGATTGAAGATATTATGATATTTGCAGCAATGAAAGGTTTTTGAATAATGTGTGTACTATATTCAGAAGTTTCTTAACCAGCTGCTTCTGGGTTTAACTCAGTTTTATGTACATTACAAACAGTTTATTAAAATATTTCTTGCGTGCTTACTATGTCAGGTACTGGCAGTTGTAAATAACATACTAGAAAACCTTCGCTAGATCTTGAATTTAGATACTATTTTGTCACTGATAATGAAATCTGTGTGTACAGGAAAATATTTCGAGAAATAAATAATTTAAAATTTTCATTGAGACCATTCTTTAAATTAGAATATATGGATAAGGTGTTTTTTTGGGGTGATAATTTTAAGTTTTGGCTTTTCATACATAGCTCTTAATGAAAAGCTTGAGTCATAAATCTGATTAGAGCCAGATTTTATTTCTGAAACCTTTAAAAGTGGCCAGTATAGGATGCAAGGCTGGTACAGTATTCGCAAATCAATAAATGTGATACACCACATAAATAAGATGAAGAATAAAAACCACATGATCATATCAGTAGATGCTGAAAAAGCATTCGACAAAATCCAGCATCCATTTCTGATAAAAAGGCTCAGCAATGTGGGAATAGAGGGGTCATATCTCGACATAATAAAGGCAATATATGAAAGACCTACAGCCAACATCATACTCAATGGACAGAAACTAAAAACATTTCCATTAAGAACAGGAACAAGACAGGGATGACCACTTTCGCCACTCTTATTTAACATTGTACTGGAAGTCTTAGCCACAGCAATCAGACATGAAGAAAAAATAAAAGGGATCCAAATTGGAAAGGAGGAAGTGAAACTGTCATTATTTGCAGATGACATGATATTATACATAGAAAACCCTAAAGACTTTATCAAAAATCTATTAGACTTAATAAATGAATTTGGCAAAGTAGCAGGATACAAAATTAACGTCAAGAAATTGACGGCATTCTTGTACACCAATGATGAACTCACAGATAGAGAAACTGAAAAAACAATCCCATTTACCATCGTGCCAAAAAAATTAAGATACCTAAGAATAAACTTAACCAAAGAAGTAAAGGACCTATTTGCAGAAAACTACAGGTCATTGAAAAAAGAAATAGAGGAAGATATAAAAAAGTGGAAGCACATACCCTGTTCATGGATTGGAAGAATTAACATCATTAAAATGTCCATACTACCCAAAGCAATCTATAGATTCAATGCAATCCCCATCAAAATACCAACGACATATTTCATAGAACGAGAACAAATACTTCAAAAGTTCATATGGAACCAAAAAAAAGACCCAGAATAGCCACAGCAATCTTGAAAAAGAAGGACAAAGTAGGTGGGATCACAATACCAGATATCGGGTTATACTACAAAGCGACTATAACCAAAACAGCCTGGTACTGGCATAAGAACAGGCATATAGACCAGTGGAACAGAACTGAAAACCCAGAAGTGGACCCAAGGCAATACGCTCAATTAATATTTGACAAAGGTGGCAAGAGCATACAGTGGAGTAAAGACAGCCTCTTTAATAAATGGTGTTGGGAAAATTGGACAGCTACATGCAAAAAAATGAAACACCATACACAAAAATAAACTCAAAATGGATAAAAGACTTAAATGTGACCCATGAATCCATAAAAATTCTAGAAGAAAATGTAGGCAACAAAATTTTGGACATCATACGGAGCAGAATTTTCACTGATACATCACCTAAGGCAACAGAAACAAAGGAAAAAATGAACACATGGGACTACGTCAAACTAAAAAGCTTCTGCACAGCAAAAGAAACAATCATCAAAATGGAAAGGCAACCCACTGTATGGGAGAACATCATTGCCAATGATGTATCAGATAAGGGGTAAATTTCCAATATATATAGAGTGCTCATACAACTCAACAAAAGGAAGACAAAGAACCCAATTAAAAAATGGGCAGAGGAGCTGAATAGACACCTCTTCAAACAGGATATACAAATGGCCAAGAGACATATGAAGAAATGCTCAACATCACTAATCATCAGAGAGATGCAAATTAAAACTACAATGAGGTATCACCTCACACCTGTCAGAATGGCCGCCATCAACAAATCATCAAACAACAAGTGTTGGTGAGGGTGTGGAGAAAAGGGGACTCTAGTACACTGCTGGTGGGAATGCAGACTGGTGCAGCCACTATGGAAAACAATATGGTGTTACCTTAAAAAATTAAAAATTGAACGTCCATTTGACCCAGTGATCCCACTTCTAGGAATATACCCTAAGAAGCCTGAAACACCAATCAGGAAGAATATATGTACCCCCATGTTCATAGTAGCACTATTTACAATAGCTAAGATCTGGAAACAGCCCAAATGTCTATCAGTAGATGAATGGTTAAAAAAGCAGTGGTACATATACACAATGGAGTACTATGCAGCGGTAAGAAAGAAAGATCTCTTATCCTTTGAGACGACATGGAGGGACCTGGAAAGTATTATCCTAAGTGAAATAAGCCAAGCAGAAAAAGACAAATACCACATGATCTCACTTATATACGGAATATAATGAACCTAACAGTCTGAGGAATACGGTAGACCCAGAAACATGGAAGTAGGACACAGACTGACATCCATCCCTCAGAAGAGGGTGGGGGGGGGGTGGGAAGGGATAAACCACAGAATTTATATGCATGTATGCATGACCAATGGACATGGGTAACTAAGCCGGGGACGGGGCTGGGGTGGGTTGGGGAGGGGGGTGCCAATGGGGTAAAAAAGGTGAAATATCTGTAACAAAAAAATAAATAAAATTAAAAAAATAAAAGTGGCCAGTATAACAAAGTAATTAAAATGAAAGGCTTTGGAGTCATACTGCCTGAATGGGATTCTGTCTACCACTTTGAGTGGGCTTGGAGAAAGTTACTTAATCTCCCTGTATAATTTTCCTTACTGTAAAATTAGAAGTATAATAGTACTTACTTACCTTGTAATTTATGAAGATTAAATACATTCTTATTTTAATTATTTTAATCCTCACCTGAGGACACTTTTTCATATATCTTCAGATAGAGTGGGAGGGAGGGGAAGAGAGAGAGAGAAACATCGATGTGAGAGAGACATATCGATTGGTTGCCTCCCACACAACCCTACCAGGGCCGGGGATCAAACCACAACCGAGGTACGTTCCCTTGACCGGAATTGAACCCGCAACTCTGGTCTGCAGGCTGACGCTCTTAACCACTGAGCCAAACCAGCCAGGGCAGATTAAATACATTCTAAAATTTTTTATTGTATATGGTATATATGAGTACACAATACAGTTGACCTGTGGTTGTTAAAGAACAAATAATAAAAGTGGACGTAACTATTACTGAGAACTGTGAATTCCCTTTAGGGAGTTCCCCATCTCCCATCCTTCAGTCTTTTAAAATTGTACCTATTCAAAATGAGGAATTTAATGATCTTATCAATTGATATTTTTTCTAGTGCATCTCTGCAAAACCAACTTTTTAAATCTTTTATCTTGATAATAAAAAAAAAATGCAGGCAGTATAGACAATATGAACAATTTATTTTTAATATTTACCTGGAGATACTCAACATGGAAGAATGACCAAATAAATATATTTGACTGGGTTTAAATTTGGCTAACATCAGTAAGTTAAAGAAACTCTTGCTAATTTTCTCAGAAACTTTCAAAAAGAGACCTTAGAGATGTCTAACATATTTGTGTTCTAATAGTACTTTTTTCTTAGTCTTTTAATGATTGCTTTTTTAGAAAAGTACTTCATGAGTTATTTGACCGGAAATGTCACTCTAGTGGGCTGAGCTTGGTACTAGAACGTACTATTTCAGGTTGTTCTCATTTCTCATATTTTTGTTTTAGATTGTGGGGTTTATTTCATGTTTGTTTCTCTCTCCTCACTCCCCCAGAGTGCTGATGCTGTAAAAAAGGCTAGAGGTTTCTTGGAATTTGTGGAGGATTTTATTCAGGTTCCTAGGAATCTTGTTGGTAGGTACTTCTACATGTTAAATAAGTCTATTTAATTACTTACAGTGACTTAATTGAAAATTAGTCTTGTGTGGTATTTTATATCTTTTAAGTATTTTGATAACCATATTTGTTTTTATTTTTTCAGTAATAACATTGTATGTGATTTGTATCTTTTTATGATAAAAAAGTAAAGATGTCTTCTTCTGTTCAGGGTAACACACTAATAAAGCTCATGGTTTTTATAACAATTTGCCATTACAGTTTTTCTTAAGCCAGTTTATGCCTTGTGCAGAGTAAAGTAGATGTACATGGCAGGAGAGGAAGGTGGTGATGATAAGATGATAGGAGGTTTCATTGTTTTGTTTTTGATGCCATTAATGCAAGCTATTGTACCCATGGGTTATAAGTTAGTTGTGCCAACATTTTTGAACCTGGAGTTAAATGAGCATTATAGCTTGGAATGAGTTGTTTAATAGCTTTGTTATTGATATCCTGTAGATCTGCGCTCCGTCTTTTTAAATGCTATTTGAGACAAGTGGGAAATCTTTTGTCACACGTTAAATGTCACTGATTTTCCTAGAAGTTTAATATAAAAATAATCATCACCATAAAGTAGTGAAATGTATTAGGAGAGATGAATTTTTGTCACCTATTAGTATCTCCCCCCAAAAAAAGTTGTTTTACCTTGTTGAAATCGAGCCCCTTGGGCTCCATTTATAATTAGGCCTATTCTGCCTTTAGGAAATGATTTCTTTGATATCTGTGTTTTATTTGTCAAATTCTGTAAAACAAACAGTGGGAGAAAATCTAAAAAACAATACTTCCACTATTCAAAGATGTTTTTCTGGCCTATAACAACTAGTATGCTCTGGTACAGTAGTCTACAACACAGTAATTTAGATTAGTTTTTTGATACTCAGTTGTTACATAAAATGCTTTTCAATTTTGCCTAAATAGTTGAGTAGTTATAACATACTACCAATTAAGTAAGCTCTACTTTATCTGTTTTTGGAAATCACTCTTTATTGTAGACTGATTTTAATAAATGTTATCAAATATTTATTGTCACATGAAATCACTGTAGACAAAAAAGCTGCTTTTGAAAATGATCCCCTTTTTATTTAAATTCTACTCATTTATTGACATAAGTACTAACATTGGTTTGCTGGTTTACAGAGTGTAATTTGACTTAGGTTTCTTCACTTGTAAAACTGATTTGGAGGTATGTACTAGAGAATCAGGATTCTATCCAATTCAACAATTCTATAGAAGATAGCCTCAATCTTAGAGAGTTTGTGGTAGTGTTAATTTTGAGTAAAAAATTCCGCATATTTCAGAAGTAAGGAAATGGGATGTATTTGTAGTTCTCTAATTCTTTATTAATTTATTTTGTGCAATGATGTCCGTGCCTGTCATGTCTCTTTTTTCCTCTACCTGTCTTGGTTGGCTTTGATTTGGGTTATTTGTGTACTCTTTAGGAAATATACATTAGCAGCAACTATTAAACGCTGGTGAAATTTTCAGAAGAAGTATAAAGATTTCAGTTGGTTGTTGTGTATAATAATACTCCATTTTCCTCCAAAATATTTTATGGGTGAAGCAGTCTTTTGAAAAGTAATACATTCTTAGTCCAAGTGAAAGAGAAAAAGAGGACTGAGGAGTAAAAGGGAATGAGGACTACTTGGTGGGTAAGTTCCAGAGAGGATTCCTTTACACATTCAGGTTCCAAGAATTCTAGAACTTGACCATTCCCATCCCTCCCAAATACCAAAGAAAAATATTATGTGAACCTAGATTTGAAAATGAATAGAAATTTTGCACCTTTTAGAAGCATTCCTTAATCGTTTCTCTACTCTATCCCTTAAGCATTTTTGCTCAATGCTCAATTTATACTATAGGTCTGCTTCAGTTTATCAGTATGCTTTGGAATTTAAACTGGAAATAGTTAAAATTTTGATGGTCTCTGATGGGACTAAATAAAACTTGCAGCTAGGTCCCTGCCACGGACCCCAAAAGGGTGATAGATGTACACTTAACACTGGTATGGTTCACAAGAAGAAAGGGGCAAAAATTGGGGGTGGGGGCATTATGATGTATCAACCTGATTTTTGTTATTTCGAAAAGATATTTGCTTATTTTTAGCAGGGTCAAGGATGGAGTTGCTGCTTGAGCTTCACTGTGTTAACAATGAAGGTTGCTTTTATATGCTGCTGCTAGGGCTGCTCAGAGAAGACATGTGAATTCCCTGACCTACTCTGTTTTATTTTTTTACCTGTTCAATTGCTGTTGCTTTTAAATTTAGGGTTATTAATGGGAAGGAAGCTTGAGAATAGGAATGGAAAATCCTGTAATAGTATCTTTGCTATGTTGACCAGCTTACTGTTGATATTGTTCCCTTACTCATTCTTTAATGGAAACTGTTTTTTCAAGCATGCGATAGGAAAAACATCTATTTTAACCCTTGTTAGCCAAAATTAATTTATTGTGGAAATAGATTGCGGATTTAGTGAAAATTATTGGGGATTTTGACTCAACACAAAAACAAATACGGTGTTGCTGTTAACTTTATAAGGGTACATCTGTTTCATATAGTGAAAGTTACCTGAATATTCTATTCCTTGGTTACACTACCCAGTATTGGTTTATTTTTCATGGGTGGGGAGCCTTTTTTCTGTCAAGGGCCATTTGGATATTTATAACATAATTTGAGGGCCATACAAAATTATCTTAAAAGATAGCTTACTATATTTGGTCAGGCTAATTTGGTGAGGCATGTGGCATTAACTGGTATTGATTTCAAGGGCCTCATGCAGCCCCTGGGCCCAGACGTTCCCCACGCCTATAATATGTGAATGTATGTTGTAACTGATTGAGCTCTTAAGGGGAAGAGAAGTCTTCCCGCTCCCTTTTTAGATTGTCCTTTAATTGTTGAATACTACTGTTGACAGACTTAGAAGTTATGTGTGGAAAAGGTAAATAATGTGCATTTTATGTCATTTTATAGTATTTCATATCTAGGAAGACAGCATACCATATACATGCTGTGTGCATTTGTATAGCTGAAGTAGTGAACTTACTGGTATAAAATGTTATACTTGCTAAATGTTAACATTTAATTTCTATGAAGGGAATATTTATTTTAAAAGCTATGTCTTCAAGTCGCAGGTGTCTTGAACAAATAGAAACTTGAAAATACAAGATTGAACTTGTTAATTGTTTAAATAATTATATATAATAAACAGATTGATATGATTAATGCCAAAATAAAAGGGTTTTTTTTTTTTGGCTTCTATGTATATAAACTTTTGAAATGGGTTGAACTTTTGATATTTTAAAAATATAAAAATGATGTAAAACATCTTTAAAAATGTTTAGACTTTGCAAGATGTTTTTCATGTGAACAGTATTGTCAGTCCAGTTAATAAGAGCTTTAGGCATACTGGAGAGAAGGAAGTTTCAGACCAATGATAAAATTTCTCAGTAGTCTTTACGGGGTGAGTTAATTGAGAGTACAAAGATAGAGCATTGCTTGGTTTTTATAATTTGATAGCAAGTCAAATTATTTGGAAAGGATAGCAGTATTGGTTTTACCATCATATTTGTTTTCTCTTATTGAAGGAAAAGTAATTGGAAAAAATGGCAAAGTTATTCAAGAAATAGTGGACAAATCTGGTGTGGTTCGGGTGAGAATTGAAGGAGACAATGAAAATAAACTACCTAGAGAAGATGTAAGTATTAAAAATGTAATTTTAATTGGTCTATTTTTTTTCCTTTTATTTTTTTTTCTTGGCCTACTCAGTGTTACTTTGTAGTTTGGAAATTATATCTAATGTGCTACTTAGAAAATTATATCTAGTGGGCTACTTACACTTTGGTGCATGGGTTTTTCTTTTTTTAAAAAAGTTCTGTTTCTTGTAATATTTCTTGGCATACTTAGAAAACAAGTCTTAATTGTGGACCTTGGGTTCTTGATTGGTTTTTCAGTACTTCAATAAAAAGCCAATTTTTTGATAAAAAGCTTCAATTTTATCATCTTAACAATTCTTTTTTGTACTTAGAATGTAAAGTTGTTCAATTTGATACTCAACAAGTCTTTTATGAAGGACTTCTTGATAACGCTGTCCTTGACATTTTTATACAATTTGAAAGCACTGACCATTTTCTTAATTGAAATGTTTAAGCTTTTATGTTGCCATTTTGATACAAACTTTCTGAAATTTCTTTTCAGTCATTCTTCACACATGTTGATATTTTGTTCACAGTGCTGTTCTTTACTCTTCATACATCACTTTTCAGGATATTTTTTCTTTGTGGCTCCAGTAAGTCAGCTCTGTATAGTTGACTTAATCTTGGTCTGTCTGAATATAAGGCAAGGATTTTCCTTCAGATTATCTTCTAGTAGTACATGCATAACTTCTTCAGTTTTGCACAAATAGATTACTGTTTGGAGAGTTTATTAGCCTGTTGGATAGAATCAGTCTCATAAAACTAAAAAGAAAATTAGATATTTAACCTAGATAAATAGTCTCACTTTAAGTATGTTGTAAAGATACCTATCAAAGACACTTCTTTATTCATTTTAATTAGTTATAATGTGGAGGTAAATACAGTCAAAACCAATGAGGATAAACAAATGACTTAGTGTTATAATTATACATATGAGTACTTGTGGCTCAGATTGATTTCATCTTGCATTGTTTCGAAAATTGCTGTAAATCGCAAGTAACTTTTACTTATTCTTAAGCAAACTTCCTTCCTTTCCCCCCATTTTTCATAACTTGAAGATGCCTTTGAGATAAGGAATAAAATTGATGGTGTCATACTACTATAATGGGCACTTTCCCCCTTTATGCTTAATATATAAAATAATGGAGGTCCATTGGCATACCACTACCATTAAAAATTAGTATCAAGATCAAGATGTGTACTGGTGAAGGCCATTAAATGACTCAAGTATAAATCTCTTAGCTTGATACTAATATCTGATCTTCCCTTAGCTTGATTTGTCCCAGTTGCTTTTTAATATTTACTGTCTTGTTGCAAGTGAATTTTTCTAGGTTCCCCTTCATCAATAAGAATGTGTGCTATTTAGTGTTTGTGGTATTGGTCATTGTTAATGCTATTTCTGTGCTAGGGTTAAATTTAAATGCTTATAGAAACCAATCAGATTATGTAAACGATTAAGCAGGTGGAGATTTACAAGATAGGAATGGGAGGGCATCCAGTGTCTCTATAAAAGAAGCAGATGCTGCTCAGCTTTAATCTAGTGGGAATGGCTGCATTGTGTTGCTGCATCTTCTGATATTTTTAAGAGAAGCTAGAAATCTATAATACTATATAGAATTTGAAGGTTGGTATTGGTTTATTTCGGGCCACCATTTCACAGTTTAAGCCTCTAAATCCCCTGGAGACTGTTTATAATTTGCTTTCTCTCAAGTCTTTGATGACTCACCTCTGGTCTGAGATGACCTTTCCCACCTGTATTCATAGTAATTATTGTTGGTATAATAAGGTATTTAATGATTTTCTTTTCGTCTTATATATTTTCTGATTTATGTCTCCAAGCCAGGTCATAAACTCCTTGAAGTCAAATAAAATTTGAATCTCATATTTTTCATTTTTTCCCTAGCACAATTAATTATATAGAGTAGGTACTTGATACATATTTTAAATCATTTAATTAAGATAAAAATATGTTTGTGTAAAAGAATAGCACAGAAGGGTATAGTGTGATAAATAAATGTGTATCTATGTCCTTTCTATGGCTGTCCTCTCTCCATCATGCCTATCAGATTTTCATCTGTTGTCAGTTGCCTTTTCTTATCTGTTTTGCTATTAAAAAGAGTTTTGCTGCAGACATCCCTTATGACTGGAGAGTAAATTCCTGAAAGTGGATTTGTTAGAACAAAGAGTATATGGTATTTAAATATTTAGATACTGTTAAATTTTTCCCACACATTTCTTCTACCAGTATCGAAAATGTGTCTATTTTCCAATATTGAGTTTAATCAAACTTTAATTTGTGCCATTCCAGGTGTACTTGCATATTTTTGTCTTTTTTTAAGAGAGAGAGAGAAAGGGAGAGAGAACATCAATGTGAGAGAAACATCCATCTGCTACCTCCTGTATGCCCCCCACTGGGGATGTAGCCCGCAATCCAGGCACGTGCCCTGACGTGGAATCGAGCCGGGACCTCTCAGTCCATGGAACAACTCTCAATCCACTGAGCTACACCGACTGGGCTTGGCTATTTTTGTCTGTCTTTATTCTACTGTATTATTATTATAAGAACTTTACGCATTTTAAAGAAATCAGTCTTTTCATATGTTTGGCAAATATTTTTTGTTTCTTTTGATTTTTTTCTGTGCAGACATTTGAAATTTTTACATTGTTTTTTTTTAGACTTATGCTTCTATGACATGACATAAATTTTGTGTCATGTTTGGCAGGGTCTTTCCTACTTATAGATTACTCAGAAATCCACTTATATTTTACTTTCCAAGTATTTTTATTTTTTAGATGTGTAAATTTTTACTTAGTAGGTTAGAAAACCTGATATAAACTGATACTTCGGAAGTCATTTCTTAGCCCTGGCCAGTTCTCTTTCAGTGATTAGAGCGCCCCTGCACCAAAGGGCCTCAGGGTTGATTCCTGATCAAGGGCACATACCTGGGTAGCAGGTTTGATCCCTGGCCCCCACAGATGTTTCTCTTTTCTTGCCCTCCCTACTCCCCGCCTTCCACTCTCTAAAAATCAGTGAAAAAATTATCCTTGGGTGAGGATTGAGAGGATTGAAATTTTTCTTAAATTTTTAGCACACTTAAATGCAAAATTGCAGTGCAAATTGGAATATTTTTTTTTGGTGTGATGTATAACAGGAACAGGGATCCAGCTTTATTTTTCTGAGTGCTAGTTAGTTGTCTAAATACCATCTATTAATAATAAGCAATTAGTTTTTAGCAAATTTAAAATAGAAATTTCACTGAAATAACTTTTACAAATGAATTTATAGATTCAGTAATAATTATTTACTCTTTAAATTTTTTTCTTAGGACTTTATAATAGCCATTAAAATATGTACCTTTTTACCTCTTCTTTTCTTTGACGATAACATTTCCAGTGCATGGTCAAGGCATTGCATTTCTCTTATTCCTTGCAGATCATCTGTCTGGAATGACTTTGACTTTCCCTTGTCTACCTACTTGATAAAATCCTTGTTATTTTTAACATCCACTTTAAATAACGGTAATAATAACCCCCCATTTGGAATTTATTGGGGTGACAATGGTTAACAAAATTATATGTTTCAGGTGCACAATTCTACAACACATCATCTGTACACTGTATTGTGTGTTCGTCACCCCAAGTCAGGTCTCCGTTGATCACCCATTTGTTCCCTCCTATACCCTTTTATACCTCCCCATATACCTCCTAACAGTGATGATGATAATATAATTTCCTGTACTTTTCCACATATGGGATGGCATAATTGACATTCTGTCATATCACTGATGGTGTACAGTGAGATTATTACAGGAATGTTTAGTATCTTTTCTGAGATTGTGATGGCCTTTATAGCAGCAACTTTGTTTCCTTATTCCTTAACATAAATTCTGGAAATTAACAAGTGAATGTTACTTGGAATTATGTAAGGATATGAAATTGGCTGGCTAATTTTATGACTGGGCAAATTGATTTCTCACCTGTAAAATTGGGATTTTTAAAATGTTACTTTTTAATGAACATAAAATAAGATACAGATTTAGAATGAATAGTATAGTCCCAGAAATACAGTTTGTGCTTAAAATTTTTTAGATATTCCTCACCACCCTCCTCTGCCTTATATTCACCTTTACATCCTCTTATTTGTCTATGAATTCCTGAGGACAGGATCAGGACTTCCTTACTCTTAAGCTTAAATTATTAGATTCTCTTTTTTTTTTTTTTAATTAATTTTATTTATTTATTTATTTTTTTGTTACAGATATTTTACCTTTTTACCCCATTGGCACCCCCCCCCCCCCCCCCCCCCCCTGTCCCCGGCTTAGTTGTCCATGTCCATTGGTCATGCATACATGCATATAAGTTCTGTGGTTTATCTCTTCCCACCCCCCCACCCCCCATCCCCTCTTCTGAGGGATGTCAGTCTGTGCCCTACTTCCATGTGTCTGGGTCTACTGTATTCCTCAGACTGTTATGTTCATTATATTCCGTATATAAGTGAGATCATGTGGTATTTGTCTTTTTCTGCTTGGCTTCTTTCACTTAGGATAATACTTTCCAGGTCCCTCCATGTCGTCTCAAAGGATAAGAGATCTTTCTTTCTTACCGCTGCATAGTACTCCATTGTGTATATGTACCACAGCTTTTTGATCCATTCGTCTACTGGTGGACACTTGGGCTGTTTCCAGATCTTAGCTATTGTAAATAGTGCTGCTATGAACATGGGGGTACATATATTCTTCCTGATTGGTGTTTCAGGCTTCTTAGGGTATATTCCCAGCAGTGGGATCACTGGGTCGAATGGAAGTTCAATTTTTAATTTTTTGAGGTAGCACCATATTGTTTTCCATAGCGGCTGCACCAGTCTGCATTCCCACCAGCAGTGTATTAGAGTCCCCTTTTCTCCACACCCTCGCCAACACTTGTTGTTTGATGATTTGTTGATGGCGGCCATTCTGACAGGTGTGAGGTGATACCTCATAGTTGTTTTAATTTGCATCTCTCTGATGATTAGTGATGTTGAGCATTTCTTCATATGTCTCTTGGCCATTTGTATGTCCTGTTTGGAGAGGTGTCTATTCAGCTCCTCTGCCCATTTTTTAATTGGGTTCTTTGTCTTCCTTTTGTGGAGTTGTATGAGCACTCTGTATATACTGGAAATTAACCCCTTATCTGATACATCGTTGGCAATGATGTTCTCCCATACAGTGGGTTGCCTTTCCATTTTGATGATTGTTTCTTTTGCTGTGCTAGATTCTCTTTTTTTATGTCTTCATAGTTGTTGAAGGTTACTACAACTTTCTGTAAGCTCCATTATAGCAGTGTTCTGTACTGCAGCCTTAACATTTGCCCTGTCATATTTCCTTATACTTTTTAATTTCCCATATCTAAAATTCACCAATTAAATTTTTAAAAAATTAGTTAGAAAACAAGTCATAGAGTAATTTCTTACACAGAATCAAAAGTTGTAAGCTACACTTAGTTCCATAACTGTTAGGAACTATTCTGTAAAATCAAGAAAATGAGAAGAGACACTGAAACCAATTGGATCACTTTATTTAGGCTTTACTCATTCTCCTTATTCAATAGTAAGCTAGAAGTGTATTTCTTTTTTTAAAAAATCATCAATTTATCTTAATTCTTTTTCCACTTTTTAAAAACGTTTCTCTTTTGAAATTCAGGAAAGTAAACCAGGTTTAGGTTAATCTTTTGACTTGCTTTTAATACCTGTGACTAAATATATGCCCTTACCAGTAATTACTTCATTTTTTTGTGTATTTATACTCTGCAGGTGATACTTTTGTTAATTGAGAAGCATTCTCTCCAACACATAGACATTGAAGGTTTTGTTATCTGAGCGCACATGAAAGGGATAACCTATCACTGCTAAAGTGATAGGATGTATAGTCTGTATATTCATGCCAGAAATTTCTTTAAATGTTGGTTTATATACTTAGAAAATTAGATTGAATTAGAAATGTAAAAACTGATTTAAATTTTTTAATGCTAAGTTGTAGTGCAAATATAACAAGTTAATGAAAATCTCTGTTCAAATTATATTGATTTTTTTTTAACAGTATATTTTTAAGTCTTGAAGTTTAATAGATATAAATTGCTGTGTGCTTTAGGAAAGTTATCCAAAATTATATATTGGTATGTCATATTTAGGCTGGAACTTTCTTGAAATATTAAATGCCTGAGGACGTTGTTTTCTTACAGGGGATGGTTCCATTTGTATTTGTTGGCACTAAAGAAAGCATCGGAAATGTTCAAGTTCTTTTAGAGTATCATATTGCTTATCTAAAGGTTTGTATATCATTCACATTTATATTATTGTTGCTCCCCACATTAAACTTAAATTTAAATTAATTTGATATTTGTTTGTAATGAATTTCAGGTGTTTACATTTAATTTAGGTTCAGGTATGCCCTGTTTTTCTTTATGAGAATTTAGAAATAAAAGGTCCTTTGCCATAATGAAGTGATTTGCTTCATGCTCATTGTTGCTCTTTTCTTTTGAACTTCTATATTTCTTTCCTTACTGTTAAATTATAGGAACACTGTCATCACTTATGTACCTACATGTTCTATACTGGAACTGTTTTGTTTTGACCTTGATGCTTTACATGCAAACAAGGCACAGAATCAGGAGTGAAGATTGGCTTTCTTTGTAATTGGTATTATCTGAATCATATGCATTATCCTCATAGACATCATGTGATAATTCTAAACCATTGTTTCTAATGTAGTCTGTTAGAGTTGATAAAGAGCAAGGGTTTTAGAAAAGAAAAACCACACAAATAATTAAAAGTTGTATTTATTATTTTCTATTGTTCCTCCTTCATTTCTGCTGTATTTCTCTTGTTTAGAGTATAGTGATGCCCTCAACTGCTTTGTCTAGTATGTTTTCTTTTTAATCACTCATATTATAGCTGCTGTGTTAATTTTTTTTTTATCCTCACCCGAGGACATTTTTCTATTTTTTGTTCAGATAGAGTGGGAGGGGGAGAGAGGAAGAGAAAGAGAGACAAAAACATTGACGTGAAAGGGACTCATCGAGCGGCTGCCACCCGCATGACCAACTAGGGCCGGGGACAAGCCGAAACCCAGGCACGCGCCCCCAGCGGAAGCCGAACCCGGATCTCTCTGGACCTCAGGCTGATGCTCTAACTGCTGAGCCAAACCGGCCAGAGCTGTGTTAATATTTTGAAAGCACCTCTGATAATCTCATTCCATTCTTTAAAACCTATCTTCATATAAGTCTCAATTCAATCTGGCATGTTTTGCCTTCCAGTACTCTACTAACTTTTATAAAGCTAAGAGGTTTGTTTAGACACCTTACTTTCACACCCTGTAATGACCTCAATTTCTGAATGAACAGGCCTACTAGTTCATCTAGGTCACAACTCAGGTGTCACTATTTTGATAGGAAAGTAGGTTATTAATGGTACCTCATAGGTGGTAAATGAACCTCATTTAGCAGGGTTTTAACTCTTACAGAGCTAAATCTAGTAACATTGTGTAATTATTAGCTATGTAATAAATGGGTTATTTTAACACTTGTCAAACATCCCCTTGGAGGAAGAGAGTCCTTGTGTTTTTTACATTGCATGCCTATAGCACTTAGCATGGTTGGCACACACGAAGGCATCAGTGAATGTTTGGTGAATTCGAATCAGCAAGTGACCTTGCAGATTGTGTTTGCTAGAAACACAAATTGTACGTGACCAAATGCCCAAGATCACAACTTCTGTAATTGGTAGGGAATGTAGCTCAAGTTTTAGACTTTAAGAAGACAAAAAGTTACAAATGAGATTTACCCTTTATTGTTTTGATTATAGGAAGTAGAACAACTAAGAATGGAACGCCTACAGATTGATGAACAGCTACGACAGATTGGTATGGGTTTCAGACCTTCTTCCACCAGAGGGCCTGAAAAAGAGAAAGGATATGCCACTGATGAAAGTACCGTCTCTTCTGTACAAGGTTCTAGGTCTTATAGTGGAAGAGGCAGAGGTCGTCGGGGCCCTAATTACACCTCCGGTTATGGTAAAAAAACACTTTTTTTTGGTACTAGTTCTAGTTTAGGTGCTCCAATACATTTTTTGCTTAATATTATTTTGTTCCTCACTTTATCTTGACTTTGAAGGTAGTGAATAGTTCTGAGGTATATGTCTTAGTACTAGTGATGGCATACATTATATTAATGATGGTAAAAGGCATGCAGTGTTCAACAGCTATGTAGTGCAATGAAACGTGTTTTTGTTAAGTTGGTGGTTCATGATCATTTATTCTACATATTTAGAATAAATACATATATATGAAACTTGATTTTCAAATATTTTCCTTGTACATTTGTATGTCTTTTCCAATAGAAATCTAGTAATGCTGGTGATACAGCTAGGAATCGAATCATCTTTTGCGTATCCTCTGAGGAAAGTAAAAAGGAGAAATATGCTAACCACTGTGCCAAGATTGCATATAGCAGATATGTACTATATCTGTACTAGCTTTTAAAATATTTGTTATTGGCTCATTCAGGAGTCCTGAATATTAACTTCTCTGGATTTATTTTTTGAAATAACAGTGTTTCACTAAAATGGGGGCTTTAAAAATTAGAACCTAATTAACATTTTTCTAAAGTGTATTTTACTCTGAGGATGGGGCCTAACCCATATAATGAGGGGCCAGTGGATGGTGATGGTCAGTAATTCTCTAATCCTAAATTCTCACTTTTCCTCTTCAGCTTTGGAGTTTTCCATTTTTCTTCATTTGGACTTGGATCTTATCCGTGATCTGATTATTTTCCTTCCTCACTCCCTTTCCTTCTCTCTTCTCCACTCCCTTATGCTATTCTAATTGCTTTGGAAAAACTATTTCATAAGCCCTAATATAAACGCATTTAGGGAGTACGTGAAAGCTTACAGTGTGCAGATTCCATATCCAAATTTCAGTGTCATGTATGACTGAAGGATCTTTTTTTTTTCTTTATTGATTTTAGAGAGAGGAAGGGAGAGGGAGAGAGACAAAAACATCGATTAGCTGCCTCCTGCATGCCCTCTTTTTAGGGATCAAGCCTGCAACCCAGGCATGTACCCTTACTGGGAATCGAACTGGCGACCTCTTGGTCCATGGGTTGATGCTCAACCACTGAGCCACACCATCTGGGAGACTGAGGATCATTTAATGTCAAGTGTGCACTATTTTTTTATTTGTTGTAGAGTTGGAAGGTTAATTTTCCCTTTCCTTTCAAATCTTAATTTCTTGATTTTATTTGTTTTTAAACTTAACCCTGTATTGAAACATGAAAAGCAAATTCCAGTAAAGTAAAATAGTTTAGCATGTGAAGGGCTGAGAGTTGTAAACTATTATTATAGTCCTGAAAATACATTTTAATACAAAAGAAAAACAGTAGTTATTAGAAATTAAGTATATACTGAATGATTTTAGAGGTATACAAATTAGTAGTACAAATAATCAGATTTGGCTTTTTGGATGATGAGGATGACTTCCTTGAATAATTTTATGACCCTCTGTGGGAAGTCAAGGCAGATTATTGATGAGAGATCACTTTTTGGCAAAATGCTTTTGTTGAGAGTAGATAATAAATTTATGTGAGTGGCCCTGGCTAGTTTGGCTCAGCAGTTGGAGCATCGGCCTGCGGACCAGAGTTCTGGGTTCTGTTCCCGCTAGGGGCACGTACCAAAAAAAAAAAAAATTACATGAGTGGTAGAGGAATATGAATGTCACTGGGACTGAAGAAAGCTCTGCATGCAAATTGTTCAGTAGATGGCACTCTTAACCTCTGAATCTTTACAGAGGAGTAATACTGTATTTCTTGAAATAGTCATGGAACTTAAGTGGGCTTGAGAGAAATAAAATCATTTAAATCTGGTTATAGATTATCTTGTCCACTTAATAGCAGAATAACATTTTTAGGAGATAATACATATAAACTATATAAGAAACATTTTCTTAATATAACATGTCTGAAGTTGGTATGTGTCATATAATGGATGGTGTCCATTTAATTGGCAACATTATTTTAATGGCACACAAAATATGTCTTGGAATGAATGGATGGCATGTGGATTTGATATAATGTGGTATTATACCTATTAAGTTTAGCATAACAGGATCATTGAAAAGGATGTGAACCATCTTCATAGGTGATTTTAGAAGTTTTAGAGTGGGAAAATCTGATTTAAAATTTTATTAAAAACAGGTCTTTTAATTGTTGAAGTCATTAAAAGTTGACTCAGTTTCATGAATTATTTTTAAAGCTTTTAAAAATTTTTGTAAATAAATTCAGAAGTTCTTACATATTCCATAGGTTTTCGTCACTACTTGTGAAGTGATAAATTGCCCTTATTTCAACAAACCATCAATTAATAAAGTTCTTTTTTGTCTTTGGAAAAAGAAGTGTTTGGGAGATTCATGCTCTTCTGTGAGACACTTATTTCTAACAAAGATTTGAATATGAATAATAGAAACTTACTGTACTCTTCCTAAAATATATTTCCAGCTAATACTTAATCCATTCTTAATATAATTGACAACTTACATCCATATTTAATGGCTTGTGGAGAAAAACCATACACTGAAGAGTTATTTAATGTATTTTTTGTTAATCCTCACTCGATATTTTTCCTTTTTTTTTTTTTTCAATAGAGTGGAAGGAAGGGGGAGGGGGCAGACTGAGACAGACATTCATTTGAGAGAAGCACATCAATTGGTTGCCTCCTGCACTACCCTGACCAGGGCCAGGGATCAAACCTGCAACCCAGGTAACATGCCCTTGACCTGGAATGAAACCCGAGACCCTAAGTCCAAGGTCGAGGGCTGATGCTCTAACTGTGAAGCCAAAATTGCCAGTGCTGAAGAGTTCTTTCAAAGGAGAAAAGGAAGTTGGTAGCCTCCTTCATTTGTTAAACTTCACATTTTATTTTCTGTACCTTAGTAACTTCCTAACTTTTGCATCTGAAGAGCTCTTGTGGTTTGCTTTTATCATCAAATGACTGTAACATTTAAATGTAAGGAACTTAAATTTATCATGGAATCACTTCTATTTGGGAGTTTAGCAAAGGAACTTCAAAATCTTGCAGCATATTTACTCAACAAGAAAAAATGGTTATGTTCATTGGTAGGCATCTGGGGGCATTTAGAGTTATGAGACAGAGCTTCACCCTTTAAATTTATCATAGACCAAGTAAGAAGTAGATCCAAAGAGATAAAAAAAATAGAAAACAACATTCGGCAACACTGCATGATAGGTATACATTACGTCTAAGGATATAAGAGAAGGGGAGAGGTCTGTTTTCATTTAACTTGGTCTGAACCTAGAAATTGAACTGGACTTTTGAAAGAGTTATGTTTGGGTATATGATAAAAGGAAAGGATGGAAGTGACATCTCAGAACTACCTAAGAATGGAAGTGAAAATGATTGTGAGTGTCACATAAATCTACTATAGTAATAATGATATTGTAGGCTTCTATAACATATTTGTGGTGTTTAAATTTTTATTTTTTAAATTATTTCCCCAGAAGAAAATGGGATTTTTTTCCTTTTATTGATTTTTAGATAGAAAGGAAGAGAGAGATAGAAACATCGATGAGAGAGAACATCGATTGGTCGCCTCCTGCATGCCCCCGCTGGGGATTTGGCCCACAATCTGGGCATGTACCCTGACCGAGAATCAAACCAGTGACCTCTTGGCACATGGGTCGACACTCAACCACTGAGCCACACTGACCAGGCCTGGTGGTTAAATTTTTAAAGGGTCACTTTTAAAATAGGTCATTTGTAAGTCAGAAATGGTCTGAACTTTTAAAATCAGGCTGAAGTTTTGTCTTGTTGATCATGGCTTTAATTCCGTTGTTAGTTTGAAGTTGTCTTTTCTCAGAATAACCCTCTTAAAATGTGTTCAGTAATTTCAAATACTGTATTCTGGTAAGAGACTTGCTCATAAAACAGCTATTTTATGTACAGCCACTAAAAATACACTCCTAGTTTATAAGAGACCATTAGTTATCAGAAACATCCTGATTTCAGAGATGTTAAAATATGAAAAAAAAAATGCCTCCTAGAATCACTAAAATAATGGTAAAATACACTATATAACTATTTTTCTAAATATGATTAAATTTGTTTTTAAATACTGGATAGCAGTTACATTTTATTTGATATTATATCTAAAAGTGGGCAAATTAAAAAATATTTTTCCATTAAGTGCACTTTTGTATAATATAATATTTTGTATTCTGTAATACTCTATTCTGTTGGCTGTAAAACAATTCAAGTTTTAACTAGATACTAGATTACTAGTATAATAACATTTATTTTTTAGGTAAGAAAGTTCAGAATCAGTGTTTTTATGTATGTATGTATGTATTTATTTAGAAGCAGCCAGATAGGGTTATTTAAACAGTCATCTGCAGGAAATAACTGAAAATTTTTACCTTTTTCTTTCTATTCCTATAAAAATTTTGCTTGTGTTTTGTTCTTTCCTAAGGTACAAACTCTGAGCTGTCTAACCCCTCTGAAACAGAATCTGAGCGTAAAGATGAGCTGAGTGATTGGTCATTGGCAGGAGAAGACGATCGAGAGAGCCGACATCAGCGTGACAGTAGGAGACGCCCAGGAGGAAGAGGCAGAAGTGTTTCAGGGGGTCGAGGTCGTGGTGGACCACGTGGTGGCAAATCCTCCATCAGTTCTGGTAGTCTTTTATATACTATGTCAACATCCTTTCTTTGTAAACATTGTAACTTTATACAAGTTAGTTCATTTCCCAGGGCCACCCATTTTTGGAAGTTTCTCTTGCCATTCACTGTCTGAGGAAAATAGTACAACATAGCAAAACAATATGAGGAAAAGCCTTGTAGAGTGTTTATCATTGAAGGTTTGGCTAGAATATTTGGGTCAGAAACTTTAGTTGGCTGATTCTCTTTCTGTGGGCAGATATTTATAACTTCAGTTTTGGGGGGCTTACGTATTTCGAATGTTTTCTCTATAGAATTTGAGTGTTGATGTATTTGTTGGCCAGACGGACCCAGAGAATTCTTATGCTTAGATCCAAATACCTTCGTATACTTAATATTGAAAAGTCACTGAAAAGCATTTTTTGCTACACTATACAACTACTTTGGGAACAGGAAAAAATTGTGAAGTCAACTTAAAACTTTTTTTAAAACTGAGGAATTGAGTTGTAAAGATAAGTGTTTGGAAGACTGAAATTTGAGGTGTGCAAGCAACTTCTTATGTTTTTGAAAATTTTAAGTGCTATAACTTAAGTGGAGTTGTAGAGTTGCTAGAATGTTCTTGCTTAGCATAATGGAGTGGGGGTAGAATTGTCAGGGATACTTGGACTAGATTATATCAGGGATATAATCTTAACATATTATTTGTATACCACTTCAAGAAAACCACTCTTAATGTTATACTATGCCCTATGAAAGTATAGTATTTTAAAGGTTATAGAACATTTGTATGTATAATTAAATATATACCAAATGTACTTACAAATTAGAAAAAAACAAATATCACAAAATTTAGGGACTTTTTAAAAGATACTCTGTAGTTAAGTGAAATTCTTTAATCCCTAAAATTTAGTTTATAGGCTTTCAGGTAACAAGTTTTATATTTTAATACATTGTTCACTATTACCAAGGTTTATAAAATTATAGTATGCTGAATTGCAAAATAAATGTACTTAGTATTTATGATTAATGGATAAACAGTGTTTTTTGCAAAGATGCTAGCTTGCTAGCTGTTACCAAAGGAAACTTAGAAAAGTCGTGATTAGGTGAATTTCTTCTGTAATTTGATTGGTGGAGGCAGTAAATGCACATAGGTAAGACGGGTATTTTTTTCTTACAAATTATATCTTAAAACTTTTTCTTTCCCACCCTCACCCCACCTTATCCCACCTTCACTCTTTGTTTCTGGAGGTGGCCGTACTGGTCAACTTTCATGTCCACATTTTGCTATAACCAGTTAGAATTTCAACTTTTTTAGTTTGTTTTTCTTTGTGTGTGTGTGTGTATAGACTTGTTTTGATTGCTTCATTTTATAGTAACAGATTTCTGGTAAGTCATGGAGTGGAGGTGTTGTTGAGTATTATTTGGAAATAGTCCATTAATATTAGCAGAAAGAAACAACAGTCGCCTTGAACTCAATAAAGGTGACAGAAGCTCTTTCTTAGAATTAATTTATATTAGCTAAATATTTATTTTTCTCTTTTTAAAAATTTTTCTAACCCCTGGGAAGGATTAGCTAGGAATGTGAATGTCAGAATAATGTACTATATCCTAACATTTTCAAAATAAGTCAAAGAGAAATGGTAGGAAGCTGAGGTGTCTGCTCATCTTCTGCTTTAATTTTTCATTGCCATTTAAAGTTTTTTTATATTTGTTATTTTCCAGGTAAAATAGTGATACGGAAAACATTTGAAGGCAGAATATATTATTATTGGGGGGAAATTAAGTTTCTTTATTATTAATATAGCTCAATGTAGATCAGAACATTCCTAATAACTGCAGCTCTCTTAAACAAATGTTTCTTGCCTCTGACATGCATATAGTGCTCAAAGATCCAGACAGCAATCCATACAGCTTACTTGATAATACAGAATCAGATCAGACTGCAGACACTGATGCCAGCGAATCTCATCACAGTACTAACCGTCGTAGGCGGTCTCGTAGACGAAGGACTGATGAAGATGCTGTTCTGATGGATGGAATGACTGAATCTGATACAGCTTCAGTTAATGAAAATGGGCTAGGTATGTAAGCATTTAGGGGGAGGATATATAGTATAATACTGTTAATGTATGAAACTTTTTAAAAAACTAAAACCAAACAGAATTTGAAAATTGGGTGTTTCTAGTGCTTCAAAAAAAGTAGGTTTTGTGTCCGTCTTAAATGTCTAGTTCTCAGATTTGTATAGCCAAAGTGTTTGAAACTGAGAGGGTTTATTAAAGTGCCCTTTGATGCCATTAAATAACACAAATACATAGACTTCAAGGCACTTAATACTCTTATTCTTCCTAAACCAAAATTGGGCTTTCAGCTTACATCTTTAAAAATTAATTATAAGTAACACTAAGTGAAAGTATGTATATTGAGTAGGCATTAATTTCCAAAGGACTAAAATGTCATTAACTTTGGTTAAAAAATAAACTGTATTGGAGAGGAAAACTTTATCCCAAATGATGGCAATTTTAAATTGTCTTAAAGTTTGTGTAATTAAGAGTTAAAACCCTCTTAATTTCTAGATGATGACTTCATTTTGTAAATTTATTTGGAATCCTTAAAACTAGTATTTTTCCTGTCAGTAGTTGATGTTGATTTGTCTTCCCTATTTAACTAGAAGGTTCTCTTCTCTTCCCCTTTCTTGACTCATTGAAGGAACGAAGTTTTTGTTTTGTTTTGTTTTTATCAGAATAGTTCATGGTAAATTTTGCAATTACAGATGATAGTGAAAAAAAACCCCAGCGACGCAATCGTAGCCGCAGGCGTCGTTTCAGGGGTCAGGCAGAAGATAGACAGCCAGGTAACTTGAGTGGACCTGCTGACACCACCAGGTCATAAGCATGAAAAAAATTGTCATGTGTCTGCTTTCTAAATATATTATACTTACATATACACATGTGTGCATATGCATACATTCAAGATGTGCATTGCTTCCTCAACTAATAAGACTACTATTCTTAAGAAAATGCATTCTTCCTAGACACCGTAAATGTTTGGTATCCTGTCTAATTGACTAATGTTATGTCTCAATTTGTTTCAATGGAAATACTGTTGAGAAGACCATTATTTTATCTGCTCGGCAAATTATTCACACTTGAGTTGGGGCCTGCCATCCCAGGGACTGTGTTGTAGATTGTGATTGAGGTTGATTGGCAAAACTGGACAGCTTTTGCATGGTGCCTGCTTACTCTGTCTGCATTCAGCACCTAATTTTTGTGGGAATTGTTATACCCACAGTTTTTTTTAAAAGTATAAATGAGAAAAATACTCGCAAGTGTCTTTCTCCTAATAAGAGGAATGCATGTTATGTTTTTGTTTATTGTAGTGTGATGCTTTTTCCCTACACCTACTAACTATTCAAATTAATAATAGTACTTACTTAGTTTTAGAATATTAATTTTTAAGTAGTCATGTCAGTAACTTCAAAGAAACTTGTTTGTGTCTATATTATTTTGAACATAATTCCATTTCTTGTGTACAGAGAATCACATGTATATTCACAATGAAGAATTTGTGTGCACCAGAAATAAACCCCTTTTAAACTAATCAAATTTTGCATTCTTTCCAGAGCAAATTCTTTCATGTGTTTTCCCCAACTAAAGAATGTAAATTCCAGTATCTTTAGTATTTTAAGTTTAGTGATTATAGAGACATTTGGAAAAACCAGTTAAGGTTATTAGTTCCCATTCTTGAAAAATTCATGTTTTAAAGATAGTTGTAAATTTAAAAGGAATTAAATATTGTCAAAACTAGAAAGTTTCCAGAAAATATTTGTTTTCCCCTTTTCCTACTCTTTTTAATGTTATAAATACATTTTAGATCAAGAGATTGTATTTTGTTTTTTTCAAGCTAGCACGGCAGTGAATAACAGTACAGTTGGCCCTCGTTTATCATGGTTAATCAGTTCCAGACTCTACCACGATAAATGAATTTCCGCGAAGTAGGATTCTTTATTTATACAGTCTCCCTCGCCGCTCTGCACTTCTGCTATCTATCATTCCGATAGAGTGAAGCAGAAGCGCGGAGTGGCGAGGGACGACTGTATCTGGCCATACTTTATAGATAATAAAATTCAAGCTATTAGTATGGGGGCTTATCATAGGATAAATTACAGTGTAATTTATTAAGTAGATGTTAAGTAGATGGATGGTGGTTTATTACTAAGTCAGTGGACAGAGAAGAAATAATGTAGTGGGTTTGTTAAAGAAGAGGCAGATTTCTGCGTGGTATTAATTGAAATTTGAGTAATACGGAATTTTCAATAACTTGTGTTCCATATTGCATTTATCCTTATTTTGCTCTGTTCTTTGGGAAAACTACTTTTCATATTTAAAACTCCTTGCCTTCCCTAGCCTGTCCCCTCCCTACTCTCCTGCAACCCTCAACCTCAACAAAACAAAACAAAACAAAACAAACCCAAAACCCAAGATTAGAACAAGCACACCATTTTCTCATTGCCCCTGGCAGCAGTTCTAGGAAGGCAGCTTCCATCTAAAGAATATCAATATTCTCTTAAATACACAGTTATTTAGTATATGTGCTGCAGAAGCGAGCACAAATACACAATTATTTATTTTTGTCTCATTTGCTTAAAATGTGTTGTCCTTAATGTAGATTAAACAGTGAATATTCTTTATTATTCTTAGAAGGTGACAATACACTAGTGTCCAGCTGATTAATTTGGAACCCTTAGAGGAAATTCTAGAGTCCAAATTATGTTGCACATTCTGTATCTTTTCTATATATTATAAATGTGTATTAATCTGTATTGAATTTTTGAGTGGCTTATATTATAAAGACTAGCTATAGATAGTTTTTTTTGTTTGTTTGTTTTTGCTTTTTAATCAACTGAGGTTGTTTTGGTTTTACCTCCCCTTGGGGGACAGGAGGGGCACTGGTAAGTTTTTACCTTTCCAGCTAAGTGCCTCTTAATTGATAACCTATATCAAAGTATATTATTTTGTGTCTGTATATAATGGATGAAGGGTAACAAGACTTGTCAGGGTTTCTAGGTAGATGAGTTCTTCCAGGTATCACTGAGGGCTGAATTATAGAAACAGTAGATTTATTTAAGGTGCTCCTCAAACTAGAATAATTCCTAGAATGGTTTTGCCACCATGTATGTAGACCCAACAACAAAGATGATTTGATAATATCTTCCTCCCCAATTTTGGAAACCATTATTAAACGTATTTATATTTCATTAGCAGTGAATTTAAATGAATTTTATAGCTAAAATGAGCGAACTGAGTTTCTTAAAATTTGGAAGAAAAAAGGCAGTTAATTTAGACAAGAAACATCTGCAGTGGTGTTTCTAATAAATAATATGTATTCTGAATTATGTTTCCTTGAGATTTAAAAAATTCATTTAATAGTTTTAGATGACACTTGGATCTTATAAAATTATTAGCATGTTAAATTATGACTAAGAAAAAATGAATTTTAAATATATAGTTTTCTATTATATATCAATGATTTATTTTTATATAATTTGAACCTGGTAGACCAATTCTTCTCATACCTAGTATTTTAATTTGAAATTTACTTGAATTTTCATTCTTTACATAATTAACCTGCTCCCTTACTTTAAAATACACCATATTTCACATAATCAAGGATTTTTCTTCATGAATTTCTGATTGAAAATAATTCTATCAAAGAAAGAGAATGGTTATTTTGATATTTCTTCAGATAAGTGAATTTGAAGTCGCAGGTCCTCAGAGGTATAAATTTAGTGGGACTAAACCAGAGTACCTGTAGACAAGAAGTCAGTTGTGGCACTGGGTTGGCAGTAGGATGTTAGCTCGGGTTAATCTTTTTTCTGTATTACAACTGCCATCCGTCCGCTTTATTGCAACCCCCACCCCACCCCAAGCCAGTCCCTCAAAAGATTGAAAGATTGGTAAAGTGGGGAGAGGAGTGGTTAGTAAATTCATGGTGGCCCTTCTCTTACCATGATCATTGTTTATTTACATTTTTAGGATGGTTGTCTGTCAACTTTAGTTTGCTTGTAGTTTTTTATTGTAGATCACTCAGAATGGTTTCTAGTGTGGAATGTTTAAAAGGAACCATAAAATACCACACTTGGATTTCATCTTGTGTTATTTAAAAATAAAACAAAAACAAACAAACAAAAAAACCAGAACAATTAATATTTGATTAACCTTTTACATCTTTGATGAAATTTTCAAATAGAAGTATGCCACACCATAGTTAACACCAAATTTGCCCCATTTTTTCCCCACTGCAAATACTGTCTGGGCTTAGAGTGCTGCATTTCCTGTTCTTGGTTGTGGATTTCTGTATCAAGCTTATGCCACAGCCGTTAAACAGAAGCAAATGGCTGGATTCCTGTGAAAGAGGACATTAATCTAGGCTTCCTCGATCTCCAGCTTAAAATTTTTTATTGTTACCACTAAGTCACAGGCACATTTTTCAAGCTTTGTTTTTGGTTGGAGGTGGTACCCAGCTTAAGAAAATTTTGAAATTGGGTAACCCACCATTAGTTTATTTTAAAGTAAAATTACTCTTTATCCATAAATAAACTTTAGAAGTATTTTTCAACACCTGTAATTTTTTTCTCATCTTCAACAGTCACAGTTGCAGATTATATTTCTAGAGCTGAGTCTCAGAGCAGACAAAGAAACCTCCCAAGGGAAACTTTGGCTAAAAACAAGAAAGAAATGGTAAGGAGAATTTAACCTGTAGGTTTTGTTGCCTTCTTTTTTTTTTTTTTTTTTTGTATGATTTAGCTTTATTTTTACTTAATTTTCTGTATGATCACTTGTTTCCCCCAACTAGATGAATAATATTTTAAAGACTATTCTTGAGTTTGTTGTTGGCCCCAGGTTACTGAAGATAGAATGCATGCTTGAGCCTGAAATACTTTTCCGTTAGAACTCTAAATAGCATTTGTAAAGTTCAGTCTGCCCAAAGATACTGGGCTGGTAGACTGTTGCTTAATTTGGGGAGCAATAGGCTGCATACCTGTTCTTGGTGATGGATAGACCTTTAAGTGTCAATTCTTTTAATGCTTTAAAGGATTTGATATGTAACTGAATTTTTAAAAAGGTGAGTAAAGTAGATGATTATTTGCTTAACTTAGGGTGTTAACTATGTTTTACATGGTAAGCTTTCCACTGGTTATAATAAAATTGGGTACAAGTTTTCAGTAATAAGCAAGTACAGATTCAATCCCTGTGGTTTAGGGACCTCTAGGTACTAGAGACCAAGAGTTGAAAGACCCAGAGAGGTGGAGTACATTGGTATTTGTTTTGAACTTTTAGAATATTTGAATGATTTGATCCATTGTGGTGTATGAAACAAATTATTTATTAGCTAATTAATGTTTATGTAGCTGTTTTCCTCCTTAGCTATAGATTTCATTTATAAAGAAGTTGAAAAAGTTGTCTCCCTTTGGCAGGCAAAAGATGTGATTGAAGAGCATGGTCCTTCTGAAAAGACAATAAATGGCCCAACTAGTGCTTCTGGCGATGAAATTTCTAAGCTACAGCAGCGTACTCCAGGAGAAGAAAAGATTAATACCTTAAAAGAAGAGAACACTCAAGAAGCAGCAGTCCTGAATGGTGTTTCATAAACTGAAGAAGTTCCTAGTTTACAGTTCTTTTACATTACATTTTACAATAGTGCTTGTACAAGCTTGCCAAAGATAGAATATGGATCGCCAGTCTTTACATCGCACTTTCAGTTCCTCCATTTGGAATTCAGAAAGGGGAGGGATCCTGAAGAAATCATATGTTAAACATACTTTGACACCTACTGTGTTATAAAATATATCATCAGATGTGCCTTGAGAATAGTATATGTAACATTAAAAAAAGTTGCTGGCTATAGGAAATGTTATTTTGTTTTCAAAATATGGCAGAGATGGGGGGGTGGGGGGGGTGGGATCCCTAACGTAATATTCTTTATGAAAGCATTAGCTGCTTTTGTTACATTTTTAATAATATGCAACCACTTCTTCACCTGAGGAAAACTAGAGTGAAATGCAGTCTAAAATATTTTGCACTGAATTGTAATTTCTTCAGTAGTTTAGTCTGGAAACTGGTCTGTTTTGATGTGTTTTTAAAATGCTGTATGTAGAGGAAAATCTGCAGACCACTGGAATACATTTGTTAAACTCATCTGCAGGGACACTGGGTGATATTGGCAGTGACTGTTCTATATTGAGGCTTTGTTTGGTTTATTTATTAAAGTGTACAGTATTTAAAAATCAAACATAGCTTTAGTTAAAACACTAAGGTGAATTAGTCATGTCCATTCAGATATAACCTGAACTACTGAAAAGATCAATTTCCAGAAGGTTTATTCTGTATAAACTACATGTTAGTCTTCAGTAGAGTATATTTTCCTTTTCTTTTTTCTTTTTTTTTTCCTTTTTAAATTTTTTTTTATTTTGTTTGTTTGATGTGCAATATGTTTTTGTATGCAGGTAGTAAATAAACTTTGATCTTCCATTTGCTGATTTTTAACTTTCTACTTTTTATACCCACTGTTGCAAAGTAGTTGGAGCTACTTATAGACTTAGAATAGTATCCTGATTGCTTTTTAAAAAGCATTTACACTTGTTCATAAAATCAAACTATTATTTGGTCAGTTAATCATTTTGTAATGAATCCTCTGAAATCTTAGCACTTAAAATTTAGTCTGTTAGAGTAGAATCGCTTAGGAAATTTACCAGACACTTGATATTAGGAAAGTCTTTGGAACATAAAATTGTGATCAAAGACAACTTTGGAAGGCAGTGGGGTAAGATCTAGAACTTAACTTTTGCCTTTGATTCTTAATAAATTATTTTTATAAAGAATTATGAGCAATTTTTAAATATGGAATAGGCCACTGACTTGCTTTTTGATTCTCAAGGAAATAATTTTGAAGGTTCTCATACTAATGATTGTATTTTTTGTATATATTTTAGCCAGATGGCTTAATTTTAGAAAGATAAAGACTTTTACACTGTGTTGTAAAAAGTAAAAATACAGTAATTTATGAAACTAATTATGAGGTCATATAAAATAATTGTGGATATATGGGAGAGTTTAGCTCCACAATATATAGATTACTGAGCAAGAAAGCCGTTTTTGTCATTGGATGTCTTAAAGTGTTTTTTTATGTGCATAATTTGTGTTAATTTTATATGTGCATAAAATTTTAAGTGATTTTAGTTTATAATGATTGAAGAATTCAGGGTATAGTTATAAATGTAGTAATTGCCAGGTCAGTGTACATAACACTAGCCCTCAAATTTATTGTTGAGGTTAAGATGTAATGTTATTAAATGCTTTTTTACAAAACCCTAGTAACAATTTTTAAGTAAGGTGTGTTGTGAATAGTCAGTCCTTGCACATTGAATAGTAATATGAGGTAATTTCATATCCGTTTTAAAAAATTTATCTACAAGTCTTTTTATTCATCAAAGTTAGAAACAAGTAAAATTGTTGACCTTTTTAGTCTTAGTTCTCTTCAGTAATAGGTTTATAGAGTAACTATGAATTAGGAGAAAAATGTTCCTTAATCCCCAAATGGGTGAATATGGTATAAGGAAAAAAAAATTTTTAATTTTCTCCTATGTAAAGCAGATTCACTAAAATCCTTCCATAAAGATTGTTTAGTGGGAAAGGAAGAAAGATAAGACCATCTTTAAAAAAGTGGGTGTAGCCCAAGCAGTTCTTTAGAACTAACAACCAGACTAAATGACTACACCCAAATGACTACACCCAAATGTTTTGTCCTTTAATAACATAGATATTGAAGAATGGTGATAGGCTTTTTTGGGGGGTAAATAACGCATGCTCAGATTCAGAAGTGGAAAGCCACACCCCTCCCTCCACTCACCCACCCCAAGATAACCATTGTTGGTTTAGTAGCCTTCCAAACATTTTGAGAAGGGTGCATCTTTTTTGGCTGCTATACTAATTAGATGTTGCTATGGGAGAACTTGCCTGTGTACATTAAACACCATTACCAAAGCAAAAAACTCTTCTGAAGGTCTTGTGCAGTCATATATTGTGTCAACATATGTGAAATCTGAACTAAATCTTGAAGTGGGAGCTGAGATTATGTAGGGGCAAAAATGATCTTTTCCTGAAACCTTGGAAAGCATAGGATTCTTGGGATTGACATCACCTTTCTTTTTTCTTTTATCCTCACCTGAGGACATTTTTCCATCTTTTGTTCAGGTAGAGTGGGAGGGAGAGAGAGGAACAGAGAGAGAGAGAGAAACATCGACGTGAAAGGAACACATCGAGTGGCTGCCATCTGCACGACCGACCAGGGCCGGGGACAAACCAACCGAGGTACGCGCCCTTAGCGGGAACCGAATCCTGGTCTCTCAGGACCGCAGGCCTACGCTCTAACCGCTGAGGCAAACCTGCCAGGGTGACATCACCTTTCTTAACCCTTCAATGGGCCTAAAACTGTTTTTGCAAAGTGGTGTGGATCTTTGTCAGGTCAATTTGGTTAAATTAGTATGAATACACAGAAACCTTAATTGTAAGTAGTTGAGTTTTTTGTTTTTGTTTTTTTAGAGGAAGTGGGGAAAGAGAAACATGGATGTGAAAGAGAAACATCCATTGGCTGCCTCCTGCACATCCCCTATTGGGGATCAAGCCCACAACTCAAGCATGTGTCCTGACAGAATCAAACCAGGACTTCTCAATCCATGGGACTAGACTCAGTCCGCTGAGCAACACCTGCGGGGCAGTAGTTAAGTATTTTAATGTGAAGTTAAGAGAAAGTAGCACATCAAACTGGTGACTTGGTGAAAAATTACCTGAGATGTTGCTTAGGACAAGGCTGAAGGAGGTTGCTTAAATGCAATTTTTTAAAAAAGTACAGGTATATATAAGCAAGCAAAATAACTAAAGAACAGGGAAACACTAAGCTAGAGAGGATGGAGTCAAAAGTAGCGGGTGGGCCCTGGCCGGTTTGGCTCAGCGGTTAGTGTGGGCCTGCGGTCCTGAGAGACCCGGGTTCGGTTCCCGCTAAGGGCATGTACCTCGGTTGCAGTTTGTCCCCGGCCCTGGTTGGTCGTGAGGGTGGCAGCCACTCGATATGTTCCTTTCGCATCGATGTTTCTCTCTCTCTCTCTCTGTTCCTCTCTCTCCCTCCCACTCTACCTGAACAAAAAATGGGAAAATGTCCTCGAGTGAGTAGCGGGTGGTTTACCTCAGTGGTATTTCATAGCTGTGAGTCTAGTGTTGAACCTAAGGGTCTCTTGCAAAGTTGGCATGTTGACTAAAGGTTGCCGTTAGATTATCATTTGTGTCCTCTGCAAATAGATTTAGTTTTTTGAGGTTAAAACCAACTAGATAACATTCTCATAGGCTGTGCCTACAATGAGCTCAGTCTAGAATGCAGTAAGTTCTATGTCAGATGTGGGGTGGATTTTGAAAATGAGAGTAAAGGAAAGCTATTTTACACTTGGATTTTTTACAAGGCTTCAAGGAACTTGGATTTGAACTGGTTATCTGTGGGTTTGGCAAAAGTACTAAAGGCCAAAAAAAAATGTAACGTTCCATTCAGTCTTCTTGTCTTTGCTATGGTTTGGATCCCCTATACCTGTTTTGTTGTTGCCGTTTGTTTTTTTGGTACGTGCCCCTAGCAGGATCCGAACGCAGGACTCTCTGGTCCACAGGCCGACACTCCAACAACCGCTGAGCCAAACCAGCCAGGGCCCCTATACCCTTTTATAAGTTTATCTGGCATTTGCTGACCCCTTATTTAAAAATTTTAGTTCTTTACTAGGATGCATGCTTGAATACATAGTAGTTAGTTATAATCCATGATGAACCTATGACAGCATTTGGGGAGGAACTGCTGCAATAAATCAACAGTTGCAATTTGCTGTGAACTTTTGACAAGTGGTGGTAATTTGAAACTGCACTCAGCTGCTGGCCATAGGAAATTGCCAATATTTGACCATTTTTGATCCACAAAAATGGCAGTTTCCCATGGTTCAGCCTAATGCATTTTTTTAAATCCTCACCTGAGGATATTTTTCTGTTCATCTTCAAATAGAGTGGGGGAGAGAAAGAAACAATGATGTGAGAGAGACATCGACTGGTTGCCTCCCACACAACCCTGACTGGGGCTGGGGACTGAACTGCAATCGAGGTACGTGCCCTTGACCAGAATTGAACTTGCGACTCTTTGGTCCATGCTCTAACTGCTGAGCTAAACTGACTAGGGCTCAGCTCTTTTAATACATCTTTAAGTATAATCATTTACTCTGGGGTTCCAAACAAAAGTCTAATCAAGAAAACCCCAGTCCAGCTGGTGTGGCTCAATGGTTGGTTGAGCGTTGACCCATGCACCAAGAGGTCGCTAATTCCATTCCTGGTCAGGACACATGCCCAAATTGTGGGCCTGATCCCCAGTGGGGGGCATGCAGGAGGCAGCCAATTGATGTTTCTCTTTCTCACTTCCTCTAACATCAATAAATTTTTTGAAAAATTATTTTCAGTTAACCCCAACTTAACTGGGTGAGGGAGATACATGCAATCTTATAAGGAAATACATGTTTTTTTAAAAAGGGTTGATCAGTGGAAACTTGAAAGTCTGATTCATGTGTATTACTATTTCAAGTACTAAAATATGGTGCATAATGCCCCTAGATAAACTATAATGTAGCTTTTTATAAGAATTCTATCAATTTGTCTATTTCTATAAGAACTTAAAAAGATGTGTAAGTACAGAATGGGAGTTACTATCTTTTTCTGTATTTCACTTCACCTAGAAAGGGCTGGACTAGTTAATATCCTAAGGGCCTTTCCAATGTTCATGTAACTTTAGTCTATAAATATATGTGACCCTGAGTAACACTTAACAATATTCCAAGTACTTGCAACAAGGAGTATACTGATATAAATGGTTTAGTATAAATGTCCATCCCAGACATTTCCGATTAGCTGTATGCAATCCAAAGGATATCAAAAGCAAGGGCAAATTTATTTTTCACTGACTTTCTCAGTCTTGAAGCCCCACTATTTGTATTTTAGGGAGTGAATGTTTTTTGGGGGGTGAAACTACAGGGATATTTTCTGACTGTTTTATACCCTTTTTTCTTTATTGTCAAATGTAACCACTAATTTTCTAGTTTAGTGACTTCATTACAAAAATTTTCCTCTAGTTTTTCTGGTTAAATCATTTGATACTTAATTGTTTCCTGGAGCTTATATCTTTACTTCTTTGAGCCCATTTTTCAACTTGGTGTTTTCAGGTTAAGAAAAGTGTCATATAAACATTATATTTGAAATTTCATTCACTAAGGTGACAGCAAGTATTAACATGTCCCAGAATATACCTTGAAACGGGACTATGTCTTTGTTGGGTGAGGAATAATAGGTAAGAAGATAGAAGTGCTTCCTATATGCTGTTGCTAAGGCAACAGTTGGCTCTAGTTTATACTTCACTCTGAATAACCATCAACACAAAGCAGAGCTTAGGTCATTTAAGTTTCCTGGTACTCAAGGTTACCCTCAATTCAGGATTTTTTGTATAACCAAAAAACTAGCATTCTAAATGTTTTTATTTTACCTCAGATTTACAGGATTTTTTCTATCTTGTTCTTTGACGTTTTTGAGCCAGTTTCTGAATTTTCATTGGAATTAACGTGTTTGGGGGGAGGTAATTTATGTTCAATAAAACATGACCTCACTGCACACTTCAGAATTGCAAAACAACAACTAGTCCTTAACAGCAAGATGCCCTATAAATTCCCGTTGAGACAACTCAGTATTCTACCTTAAAATGTTGAAATTTTAAAACTTGAATATAAATGAAGCACGTAAGTTTCAACAATTTCTTGAATGGTTTGAGTCTTCTGAAATAACTAGACTATTATTCTTGTTTAAATGCTTCCATAAGTATTTCCCATCATTTGAAAAATACTTTGAAGGCAAAGAATTTGCTTAAAATTCTTAGAATGGGAAAAGATTTAAATTCGAAGACCACTCAGCTCACTTTCATCACCAGTTTTTATAAAGTGCAGTGTAGGGCTCATCTAATAATGTCAACACAGAGGCCCAGTGAAGGCAAAAGGAAAAGCACCAGGTAGGGAAATTAAACCTCTGATATGCCAGATCTCTTTAAGGCTATGGGTGGGAATTTCCCTAAAACATCTATGGAGGACTAATTATATAGAGAGCCAAATTACAAAGGAACATAATAAATTATTAAAGAAACCCAGGGCTTAATAATTTTGTTAGCCGTTACCTCAAAACATTTGCTTGGGCTTTTTGTTTCCCTATCCATATAGTGTGGATAGATTCTCATAATTTTCAAATTGGCCCTTATTTTATTTCTTAACAGATGAGGAAGCAGAGCCCTAAACACAGGATGGCTTGCTCAAGGTTGCCTGGCTATTACTGCAGAAATTTGACTTAAAACCTGCACCTCCTAGTCCCTTAGTGTTTTGTTCAACCATTCCTCCCCTTACAGTGGTTCTAAACCTGTTGGTCGTGACCTCTTTGGGGGTTGAACGACCCTTTCCCAGGGGTAGCCTAAGACATAACAGTAGCAAAATGACAGTTATGAAGTAGCAACGAAAATAATTTTATGGTTGGGGGTCACCACAACATGAGGAACTGTATTAAAGGGTAGGGGCATTAAGAAGGTTGAGAGCCACCTGACAAAAAGTCCCCAAGCTAGATGTGTATTAAGTACCAGACACACCTCTACCACCAAGGAAAACATTTGGGTTACCAAATTTGTGAAAGGTACCACACTGCAGCGGTTAATAGCATGGAACCTTGGGAAGAAGTATGCTCTTTATATTTACATTACTCAAAGATTACCCACACAGAAGTTTTCCTTTTTACAGTTCATGCTTGATTGCCTGTTGGCACATTATCACACTTTTTACTTGTCTTTGAAAAATTTGCTTTTAAGTTTTAATTGATACTTTTTTTTAAAATCCTCACCTGAGGATATTTTGCCATTTATCTTTAGAGTGGTGGTGGTGGAGGGATATCAATGAGAGAGAGAGAGACATAATCAATTGGCTGTGTCCTGCAGGACCCCAACCAGGGCAAGGGACCGAACCGCAACCAAGGTTATGTGCCGTTGACTGGAATGGAACCCGAGACTCTGGTCCGAGGGCCAACACTCATTAACTACTGAGCCAAACTGGCCAGGGCTACTATCTCTTTTCTTTAAAGGTCTTGGTCCTAGAAACATTTATTAGTCCAAAGGACTGAAATAAAAGGTTAGCAGGCCAAAATACAGTTGAACCTTATTATTAGAAGATTCCTTATTTGCACATTCACATACTCACTAAAATTTATTTGTAACCCAAAAATCAACACTTAAGGTCCTTCCTGGTCATTTGATATGCAGACTAGTGGAAAATTTTAATCACCTGATGTTCAAAAAGTGATGCTTTGCCTTGTTTTCATACTATAAACAAGAATCCTTTTCATGATCCATTTAGTGCCATTTTTTTTTTTTTCAATCTTAGTTTCCCTATTTAAGATGACCCCACACTTAGTGAAGTGCTGCCTAATGATGCCAAACACAAGGTTATGTTGTGCCACCACGAGTTAGTGGTGTTGGCTGTGAGTTCCATGTTAAGGAATCAATATAGCAGATAAGGTGTCTTTAAACAGAAACACAAAAAAGGTGACTAGAGGCTCATAGGAACCTGTATTTCGCCTAGGAACAGTGGTTCGGTACTTTCAGTGACTTTCTAGACATAACTACTTTGAGTAACAAATCAACTACGTTTTCATACTCCTTTCCTCTGGAAATAACAAGATTTATCCTACAAAGAAGCCATGGCTGCCTCCTCACACTCTAAAACATAACAAATGGACTTGATCTGATTTTAAACAAGGAACCAGGATGGACAATAAACCAAAAGAGCAGATACCCCAACTATGAAACACCCCTGAACATATTCCAATACTATGATTACCTCTGTTATTTTGACCTTGACAGTCTGTTCTCCATTAATAAAAAATTTAAGATGATTTAATAAAATCTAGATGGTAGGTAGCATATACTATCATCTTAAAGCTAAACAGTTAAGTACTGCTGGAGACCATGGACTAGTTATTTCCCTTGTGTGTTTTATACAAGTCCTTTGGTTAAGATCCTTACATTATTTTGCATTAGACCAACATTTGTCCTCAAATGTCATTTAAATATATCACTGTATAAATCCTCTGAGTCCAAGCTAAGTATTTGGTAACAGGGCATTCAGTTTAGCTAATTAGTTATGTTTAAGCATGGTCATAACAAATGCAAAACTTATAATTGTGTAAAAAGTGTTTTTAATGGTCAGTTTCTTGAAAGGGGCTAGCTGAAAACAATGTAAATCTTTTCTTGACTAGAAACAAGACATACTCTCATCTTTTATCAAGTTTTTTATTTTTTTTATTCTCACCTGAGGACATTTTTCCATTTTTTGTTCAGGTAGAGTGGGAGGGGGAGAGAGAGAGAAACATCAACGTGAAAGGGACACATCGAGTGGCTGTTACCCGTACAACCCAACCAGGGCGGGGGACACACTGCAACCAAGGTACATGCCCTTAGCGGGAACCGAACCCGGATCTCTCTGGACCGCAGACCGACGCTCTAACCGCTGAGCGAAACTGGCCAGGGCAATCAAATTTTTAATGTATGAAATTTGAATTGCCAGTGATATATGCATACCAACATTAATTTTTTAGGTCAAAGTTGTGGCTAAACTCACTTTTAAATTCACAGTTCCAAGCAGCTGAGCCAACTCTCCGTACCTTGACAGTCTTTCCTCCCAATAAGGTCAGTCTACTATATAACAATGTGTACTAATTACATCATAATACTTATCACATTGTATTTTAATGACCACTTTATCAGTCTCATTAGATTGGGGTTCCTTAAGAGCAGGAACTTTCATGTTCACTTTGACTTGAAGTTAACAAATTATTTACTAGATGAGTAATGAATAATATTTCTGTTCAAATGGTATGTATTTATCCATAGAGCATTAATATCCAAATATTCTACAATCTGATTTAAAATCCTCAAATTTAAATGAGAATGTTACACCAGCCTATTGACTTAGTTTGTGCTAAATCATTTTTAAAATTTGTAACTTTGGGACATTTTATTATAAAAAGCTGATAGTCACATACATAATTAATAAGAACTTAAAATTCTCATATATTTATTTCATTTTTTAGCTTGACCTTCTAGTAAATCTTTAGCTTCATTGATTTTGGCTGCTATATAAGGAGATCCTCCTACAAGAAAAAAAGAAAAAAGGAATAGTGTTATTATATGGATTCTCAAGTTCTGCTTGGTGAAAAGCTATTCTTATTCCAAGGAATCCCTATGCAATTAGCAGAAATGGTATTCCAATTTTAAAAATAAATATGACACTGCAACTGGATAACCATATATATGGTAATATATTTGATCAAGGGAAATGAGATTTCCACCAAAATGGCACCTTTAAAAAAGCTTAAAACTGCCCGTCCAGTGTGGCTCAGTGGTTAAGTGTCAACCCATGCACCAAGAGGTTGCTGGCTCAATACCCGGTCAGGTATTGACATGCCCAGGTTGTGGGCCTGATCCCCAGTGGGGGACCATGCAGGAGGCGGCCAATTGATGTTCTCTCTCGTTGATGTTTCAATCTCTCCTTCTCCCTTCCTCTATCTTAAATCAATAAAGAAGAAGAAAACTTAAACTGATGACAGGAAAAGAATTTCACAAAACCTACAGACTTACATAACTTTGAAATAATGTAAGTTACCTACCTATACATGATTAAAATTCATAAATGAAGAGCAATTTATTGTACTGTTATTTTAAAACCTTGATATTCTCAGAGGCTTCTGAACTTTGTTGGAAAGACCTTCACTTTGTTTTGTTTTGTTTTTGGTATGTGCCCCTGGCGGGAACTGAACCTGGCACTCTCTGATCCGCAGGCTGAGGCTACAACCGCTAAGCCAGACCAGCCAGGGCTGAAAGGCCTTCACTTTGCTTAAGATCCTTTTTCCATCCTTCATATTTTTTCTTTTCCTGTTCTTGTCACTTTACAATGTCATGTACAGCTGTTTTCTACCAATCTGCTGGAGCAGTGATTCTCAAAAGTGTGATCCCTACACCAGCAATCATCCACATCAAGAAGAAATGTGAATTTATGGGCTCCACCCTAGACTTGAATTAGAAGCCCTCCAGTTCATAAAAGCTAAATTTCATAAAAGAGGCTATGTAGTCAGATACCAAAAAATTACAACTCTGTTTTAACTCAAAGCCCTCTTAATGAAAGGCCTTGCATATAAAATGATTTGCGCACTAGAATGTGTATTTTGTGGTCTATATTTTGGCATTCCAAGGAATTATTTCCTTTCAACACAGCTAAGGGTGCTTAGAAGGGTGTCAGAAACTAATACATTCTATAGGTGCCTAACTATGTAACCTCAAGTTCAAAGGTGTAAATGAATAGAAAATATTACATTTTTGGTTTCATTAACTGAAATTGAACATTTCCTTTAAGAACGTAGTCCAAACCCCAGTTCCCCAAAACAGCAAGGTTAGCAGTACTTGACTATTAGAAGTCATATTTTATCACAATTACAGATCTCAAAACATTATTAATGCTTATCATTACTTCCAAATTATAGTAGTTAATAGATTATCTGTTCACTATTCTACAAATAAAATTTTCACTTACAATTTATTATTTTAAGACAGCAACAACAAATGGATCCAGCCTGGGAGACAGTGCTCACACACAGATTTAGGCATTTCCCTTATTATAAGCCAAGAATTAGATATAAAATTACCCCATTAAAACAATTACATAGTCATTTAAACAACATGTATAAGAAGAATTTAATGACTACTTACCCTTGTCTGGATGATTTAAAAGCATAATTCGTCGATGAGCATCTCTTATTTTTCCTTTATTGGCAGTCGGGCTAATTTAAAAAGGAAAAGGTATTGCTTACTTCAGAGTACTTCTGGATCACATTTAAAAAATGTACATGAAGGGCAATTAAAGATGCATAACGAGTAAGTCAACATAAGAATACAAAGAGCTGTTTAGGAACCTCTTTCCTAGCATATAAGGATGATGAATATTTTGAATCAGGGAACTAAACAGCTCCTTAGAAAAATTTAAGGAATTCTCAAAAATTTAATTGAATTTGATAATATTCATTTCAACAGTCCTTGTATTGGAAAAGAAAGCATATTTAGATATTTGGAAATGAAAGCAGAATTTCCCCCACAAAAACTGTTACAGAGAACAACACTGAGTATTGTGATTATCTGTTGCAAGTCTATCAATTAAAAAGTGCTAATGTGCCTTCTTGTTGGAATTTTGCAGGGAGTGTTTAGATGTTAAAAACGTACATGATACAAATAACCACCTCCTAATGAAATGAGGTCTTTCTTACATTTGCTAATAGCTCTAGAGTTGTAGAAAATATTAAAAAATTAGAAATTATTTTACCTTACACCTAATATTAACGCTGCTTCCCGTTTTGTCATTTTGGTTTCAAACCCGCCTCTATAGTAGCCACCACTGAAGGCCTGAAAGAAGAAATGCATTAATAAGAAAAGATTATTAGAATAAACAGAGTTGCCAAAAATTGTGTATAAATGTTCACTGCACTAGCAGAAAAAGACATTTCAGATAACTTTAAGTGTAATTTTCATGGTATTTTACCTTTATAAGTAGCAACACATATTTTAATGATCATTAAATACCCATTTTTCCCCCCTAGGCAACCTAAACTGTCTTGAAAACGTAAGACAAAAGAACAGTGTCAGTTTTTCTGGGATTGAAGGGAAGATTCCAAGTTAGCCATGTTCTACATAAAAATTTGATCTCATAGTATGACTACATTGTAGAACAAGAAGTACCTCAAGAAGAGGATTTAAAGATCTTTGAGACAAGTGGTTCAAGGGTATTTTGGGGTTTAAGGCAATTACTAAAACAAGACTTTAAGATATATATGGAGAAAATCAAGGTATTAGGCCTTCTGACCTTGTTATATCAGAAATATTTGTAAGGCCTACCATCATCACATTCAATCACAACACAACAATAAAATACTCAGCAAGCCTTCACAGCCATATTCATTCTGACCTGCGACCACAGAAGGTATGACCATTATATCTAGTCATATTCTATAGCCTAAAACTGCAGTGCTACCCAAGTATCATGTTTGGGAGTGACAGGACCCTACACAGTAAGAATGAATCACTTCAGATCCCTGGATCCTTGTGTTTGTGATGCAGAGCAGGGTTGGGGTGTGGGGGATGGACAGATAATGCTGAGGTTAGTTGTATGTCAACAACAAAGTGATATTAACTTTCATGATACAAGAATTGTTAATACTCCTGACCTGATTCTGTCACACATAAAATTTAACTTTTTAGGGTAGCACTACTACAAAATTCAGAACGTATAAATTCTCCTTGCAGGAAGCCAAAGAAGGGGCCCTCAGAGTAATCACTTAGAACTTCATAGGTGTTTGGAAATTTACCCTCAAGTGTAGTTCTAGGCTACAGGCGGCAAAAAACTCAAAAAGTGTTTAGGAAGTCTTACAGATTTTGGTAGACTTTGAAAAACTTGTTTGACTTGAGGCTCCATATGCTTCATGGCTTGCAAAACATAACGGCCTAAAAACAAAAGTGATAGAACAATTAAAAAGTCCCCGGCCTCCCCTACTTCACTTCCACCCCCAAACCACAAACAAACCTGCAAATCCTGCAGCAGCAATGGTCAGTCCAACTGCTACCACTGTACTGGCCTGGTAAGGGGAAGCAGAGTAAATATTTACTTCTCTAATTCCCTATCACACCCATTCTCCCATCTCAACTCGTTACAAGTTTTATTTCAACGGCGGAAACACCTCTTAGGGTGAAAATACTCTGCCCGATGATCCTTCAAGAGGACTTCAACTTTTATATCCAGGGCACTGCGACGGTATCTGAGTTTCGCTGCGGAAGAAAAGGATGATTTCCCTCTTCTGAAAACCCCTCTTTCACCTCGGGGCAAATCAAGTTACATAAAAGTTCAATCAAAGCAAAAGGAAAATAAGGTTTCTACTAGAGAAGCAAATATTTACGGGGGGGGGGGGGGGGTTCCTGCACATTTCTGGTAACACACTCCAACGTTAAACGTCGGCTTGGCTAGGACACGCTTTCCGTGGCACCTGCGGCAGCGTCCCGCCTCGCGACTACAGGGCACGAGAGAGGCGCAAACAGGTTTCAGGACCGAGAAGAGACGTGCCAGCAAGAGCCAGGGGGCGGACAGTGCAAAGGCAGAGAGGGCTGGGAGGGTGTGTTAGAGGAAAGGCAGGTGCAATCGCACGATCCCACTAATCTCCGAGCGCCGGGGGCGGCGGACCAGGGCCGTGGAAGGACACAGGCTCGAGAAGGGCGAACCCACAGCTACGGGACCTGCAGAGCGTGCGTCGCCGAGGGAGACATGGGCTCCCCTCCTCCGAGGCCGCGCGCTGAGGCTGAGGTCTGGGCCGAGTCGCCCCGGACTCCGGAAGGCCGCACTCACCATGGCTCCGGCTCGGCTCCCCCGCCGCCCCCGAGAGCGCCGTTCATCGCAGCCCCGACGCCCCGGCCACCGACTCCACGCCTCTACCAGAAAGCAAGGCGGGCACCCCTAGCAGCGCCCTAACGTCCGCGCACTGGCGCCGAGAAAGCACGACGGCGGCGCGCGCTGTAGGCCGGAAAACTGTCGTAAAAGGCGATAGCCGACGGGGAGGGCAAGGTCGCTCCACCGGAGGGCAGATGGAGAGCACGACTTCCGATTGGTTGGTGGGCGGGAGGCTCCCTCGGTGGGTTCAAAGGTGGGGCCTCGCGGTGTTTTGTCTTCTGCTGGCGGACCAAGGGGATTTGGAAGTTCTTCCAGGGGAGATGTTGGCCTAGGCGAGCCCGAGGAAATACTGTGCAGCCCTACTTAAAATATTTTTCTTGCCCTCCCTCCCAGAACCCCCATTTGTTTATCATCGTCAAGGGTAATGATATCCTTGAACGTGCTGTAGTAGTTCCATCATGAAGCCAAATACATAGTAACCCCAGTAGAGCAAACATGAAGCTGTGTCTAAAAACCCCTGTGTTTCAGGGGTTGCTCGGTAACATTATTTCATTTTTTTTTTTTTTTTTAATTAAATATGTGACTTGACAGGACCTTGTGTCAATGTTTGGGATTTTGCTTTGTGGAATGGATTAGGCACTTCAAAAACAATATTCTGCTCATGACATATCAAAACCCCAACTAAAAAAGTGCTATTTACAATTTCTATTTACAGTTCTCCCCCTCTCCTAAAATAAAAAGTAGAGCTTGATTTTGCCCTTACAAGGCATCAGTTTCATATATCCCTACATAAATGCTTGAGAACAGAAAAACAATGGAGATAATAATGGAAGTTTTACAATGCAATCTTTGGATGGGCAAAATAAGTTTGGAGTTACTTCCCAAAGTATTAGGAATTTATTTACATTGCAATCATATTTTGCTTTGATGAGCTGGTTGGCTATTAGACAATTATACAATTTTGTTGGCTTTGTTTTCCTCATCTGTAAAAAAGATTCTGGATTTGTATGTCCAAGAGCTTTTCTAACCCTGAGATTTTTGTAATGTAACTTATTGTCAATAAATGATCCATCACTAAGGCACTGGTGATAAGTGTACATCTTCCTTTCTTGCCTCTCTTTTATCTAGCTTTTACCCAACAACTACAAACGAAATAATGAAGTGATGCAAAAGACCCTGGGCCAAATTGTCCAGAAACAAGCTAGACTGCCTTCTGGAAAAAAAAAAACAAAACAAAAAACTATTATTGTGTGTTTTTTGTTACATAAAAACTAGGACATTCAGCTTACTTGAGGAACAGGTTACCATACAGAAGCCCCAGGGAGACAGGGATTGGCAACACAGGGAGACACATTGCGTGGAGATAGTCTCTTTTTGGAGGCAAATCAAACTAGATGTACAACCTGGGTCTGTCACTTATAGCTGTGTGACTCAGATAAGTTATTTTTAACTCGGTGAGTTTTCTCATTTGTAAAACAAGGGTCATGATGTCTACCTTGTGAGTTTTTGTGAGGATAGAGATTAAACACAAAGTATATTCTGCGCGTAATTATACCTCAGTGTGTGGCTATTATTATTAGGAGGGAAGTCAGAGTACAAATTGTTGTGCAGAGGCCTTCGAAATTCTCGTGACACCTCGACTCATGGATGTAAATCTGGTATTCCCTTCCCTACCCACTAACAGCATGGAAAGAATCCTTAAAAGTAATCTTTTTAAATGTTCATTGATTGATGAATGGATAAATCATCTTTCTTTGCTTCTTTTAGTTTCTGGTGACTGTCAGCATTCCTTGACTTGTGAGTGCATCACTTCAATCTTCAACGAGGTAGTATCTTGAAATCTCTCCCTATTCTGTCTTCACATTGCCTTTCCCCTTCCTTTCCCCCTTGTGTAAAATGTCCTCTGCTTCCCTCTTTTTTTTTTTTTTTAATTTTTTTTCTTTTCATTGATTTAGAGAGAGAGAGAGAGAGAGAGAGAGAGGAAGGGAGAGGGAAAGAGAGACAGAAACGTCGATGACAGAGAACATTGATTGGCTGCCTCCTGCATGCCCCCCACTGGGGATCAGGCCCACAACCTGGGCATGTGCCCTGACCAGGAATCAAACTGGCAATCTCTTGGTGCATGGGTCGGCGCTCAACCACTGAGCCACACCGGCTGGGCTCCTCTGCTTCCCTCTTAAAGGATACATGTAATTTTATTTAGGGTCCACATCTATAATCCAGTATAACCTCCCCATCTCAAGATCCTTAACCTAATCATAGATCCCTAATGTAATCATAGTTACACAGACTGCTATGTGAGGTAATATTTACAGATTTCAGGTTTTAGTACCTGATGTCTTTGGGGGCCATTATTTAGTCTACTACAGAGAATAAGAGAAGACAAAACAGGGAACTAGCAGGCACAAGAGAAAGGAATCAAGCACAGCTGCCTAGTTTTTCCACCCACATTTGTAAATTAGGTAATTGAATCACTTCTTGGGGAGGAATAAGTGAAAAGTGAGAGGGCATAGCCAGAGTGTTCTTGCATTCTGGCTTTCAAATAGTTTTTGATCATGACTCTTAATAAGAAATATATTTTACATAATGACCCAGGGAATGAATACATACTTGAATATACTCATAAACTCACACACATACGTGCATACAAATACACATTGGAGTTAACATATATTTAAATTTAATTTAAAGTAATGTTCTTGAAGCAATATTTTTTTCCTGCTTCATGAGGTGCTTGCTGGTTTTTTCTATGTCTTAATAAAAGTGTTGGGAATCCATTAAATTCACAGCCCACCAATTGGTCATGATCTGAAGTTTGGAAAGCAACTCTGTAAAAAGCCAAACTTGGAAATAGGATTCTAGGCAAATGAGAGTTGCTATTTTCCCCTAAAAACAATGTGTCAGACATTGTGCTAAATGCTTTATGTGAATGATTTCACTTCATTTGATGAGAGTAATATTAATTTCTGTTTTCCATATGAGGACATTTTGTCTGATATACTTGTTTTCCCTTCCAGATCCCCTCTCTACCATTTTCCATTCTGCTCTGTGTCCCAGACGAGTACATGAAGCTAGGAGGCTGACCTTAAAGGACTGCATCAGTGAGCTCTCTTGTCTTCTGGCTTGGGGTTCAGTTTTGTGTGTGATCAGAAGATTGGAAGGCAGGAGGAGTATGAGTTCATGGTCTACATTTCTCCATTTTCCTTTTTGGTGGTTGTCCTCGAAGAATGCAGTTCCTGGTGTGTGTGTCTCTGTGTGTGTGTGTGTGTGTGTGTGTGTGTGTGTTTTCAGGTAATCAGTCCCACTCCTTGCTTCCTCAGGTCTAAGGGTAGTAATGACTCTATTGACCCTCTCTGCCTTGCTAGACACAGGACATTTGACCATCAATTGCTAGTTTCCCTCAATCTTGTCCATACTTTTGTAAACAGTCCCTTTATTAAATTCTAAGCTATTCCATTTGGGTATGCCATCTGTTTCCAACATGGATTTTGACTTTTATAAGAGGCAACTGAAATAATTCAAGTAGTAGATGATGGTAGCAGTGAAAGTGGATAGAAATGGCTAGACTCCTGCTTTGAAGGAAGAGCTGGTAGAATTTGATGGTGGGTGAGATGTAGTGTGTGGGAGAAAGAAAGGATTCAAGAGTGACTTCCAAGCTATACCTTGCGCAGCTGGAAGGATGAAACTGCCATTTAATGGAACTGGAAAGACTTTAGAAAGAGAAACAGGTGGGAACTTTTGTTAAGTTTGAAATACCAACTTGATAGCCAAGCAATGTTTTCAAGTAGGCATTTGGATATACATGTCTGGAGTCAAGAGAGAAGTCTCAAGTCATAAGCCCAAAGATGGTCTTTGAGTCCACATAATGGATGAAATCATCCATTATTTGAGTGGAGAGAGAAAGACAAGGAATAAAGGCTTTATTTGGGGAATCTTCCATATTTGGAGTTTGGGGAGATGAGGAAAACCAGAAAATTAGACTGAAAAGGAGTGACCAGAAACCAGGTTGAGTGTGGTGTCCTGGAAGGCAAATGAAGAAAGTGTTCAGTGCAGGAACTGTGTAAAATGCTAACAGTCAAAAGAACAACTGACAGTTGACTACTAGAGATCTTTGAAGTTATTTATGAGAAGAGGTTCTGTGATGTGATGGAGTGGATTCTAGAGAGGATAGGAGGAGAAAGAGTGGAGATGTGAATCATAAGAAATCTCTTCCAAGGAATTTTGCTGAAAAGGGAATTAGAAAAATAAGGCAGCACCCAGAGGGAGACACTGTGTAAGGAGAGTTTGTTGTTTTTTTTTTAATGGAAGAAATAAAAGCATGTTTATCTGCAATAAAAATGATCTTCTAGAGGGAAAATTTTGACAAAAGTCATTGAATTATGTAATTTAAGAATGAGAGGAAAATGTAGAGACCATTTCCCCGCAAAAGCTTTGTTTTTAAATGAGGAAACTAGGTCTCAAAGTGGTTGACTGACTTTCCTAAAGCCCTGACAGAGTCTGGTTATCACTCACCTTTGTTGTCAACTTTCCTGATGTATATAATGTCAGGGTCATAGAATTGCCTATCCCTATGTTTCTTTACTCAACTCTTTGGGAATTAGCTCAGATCTGGATTAATGTAGTCTAAATTCCTGACCTGCAGCCATTTAGCTCAGCTCACATAATGCTATATGTAAATGGCACTCAATAAGTACTTTCTGCCCTGGCTGGTTGGGCTCAGCGGTTAGAGTGTTGGGCCACGGTCCAGAGAGACCCTGGTTTGGTTCTCGCTGAGGGCACGTACCTTGGTTGCAGTTTGTCTCCGGGATCCTGTGGGTGGCAGCCAGTGGATGTGTCTCTCACATCGATGTTTCTCTCTCTCTCTTCCTCCCTCTTTTCCTCCTCCTCTATCTGAAGATGAATGCAAAAATGTTCTCAGGTGAGGATAAATAAATAAATACTTTCTTCTCTTCTCCTTCTTTCTACCCCTTTTTATCCTCTTTCTTCCCTCCTTTCCTCCAGTGATGTTGCCCTGGCCTGATAATCTACCATTAGGAATTCACCCTATGGTTGGGGTATCAATATTCTTGGTAAGTAATCATACTGAGGTTTGATCAACAGACTCTTGTGTGACATGTTTTAAGAGATCCTTTTGGTGTTATAACTAGTAAAAGAAATACTTTATTTGGGCTGTAGAAAGAATGAAGAAAGAAGAAATTTAGAGCAAGAGTGACTGAGGACTGGCCTGGCTAGGAATTAGATGAAGACCTAGGGCAGTGGAGAAGTAGATGGGATGCTGGGAAACCAGAAGGGAAGGCCACAGGTCAGCCTCATCTACATTCAAGTCAGGTGACCCCGCCCTGCCCTGTGGCTGTTATATAGTAATTTAGAACTATTTCTCCTGTGAGTTTCTCTCCCTTTTCCTCAACTTGTTTCATTTTTTTTTCCCTCACTGTATGTGTTTTAGTCTGACTTCCTACTTTCTTTTCTAATTACAACTGTTGTGCCTATTTAATCTGGAGCATGTGAGTAGTCAGAGAATTGCAATGTGTGTTGACCAGAGTGACAGCACCCAGGAGGCATGTATTTCTGGATAAAGGCTCTGTTCTCTTCTGGGCTGTGAGGAAGGAAAAGTGAGGTACTCAGGAATTCAGGGGAAACTTGAATTTCCCAACAACTCCTCATTTCATTCCATCTTTGCTTGTCTTTTTCCATTGCCATTCTCAGTCTGTTTCCTCCCTTCCCTAGCCAGGGTTCTACTTGTAGGCAGCAGCATTATGCATTGAATAAATCAAGCCCTCCCTGCCGAGCTGTCAGCAAATGGAACTGACCAACAGAACAGTCTGTGTAAGTGCATCTTGTGCCTGGGCCAGACAGACAAGCACAATTATTTATTTGATTGCTGGAGATTGCCACTAAATGAGAGTGAAATAGTGGGTCTGAGACTTGTTGGTGAATATTATTAATAATATAGTGTCATGCATTAATAACATAGTGTCATGTGAAACAAAGCTGCACTGGAGGGTCTGTCTGAAGTCCCATTTTAAAGCATGTTTTCAGGGAGCTCGATGGTGGAGCAGATAAGAAGTAATAAAGCAAGGTGTCTGTAAGCTCTGGTTAGGAGTTTGACCTAAGCTGAAGCTAAGAGAATACATATTGCTGACGTGAGTTATTTGGTGGGTAGAATGAAGCATGGTATTCATCCCTGGCTAATTGTCATAAAAATCACATTACTGTAGTGCTCTACTGTGAAAAATCATCTTCCCTCCATCATTATCATCCTTGAAGAGAGGCCATTGCAAAAACTCCATGAAATCCTTTCTGGCAACTGTGATGTCCTCAGTTACTGAATAATCAACTTCCTTAGCCCACCCAGCACAGATGACCCTTCCAGAGTCCTCTACTTCTCCCTTCATAAACCTCATAGTCCTGCCAAATATAATTTGTCACCATTGTTCTCCACCTGTGCCCTGAAGTCCCCTGCCCCTGGGCTTTTACTCAAGTCATTCCCTCTACTCCAGGTGCCCTTCCCCCTTCCCATCTCTGTCCATCAGTGATAGGCCTAGGTCAAATGTACATTCTGTGAGGCCTTTTTTGTTCATTCGTTTGGAACAGGTATGCACAAATATTTTATGTAAAGGAATCAGTAGTAAAATTTTTAACTTTGTAGGCTGCATATAGCTTCTGCATTCTTTGTTTTATCAAAATGTAAACACTATCCTTAGCTCGTATACCATTCAAAAACAGACCACAGGATGAATTTGGTTCATGGGGCATAGATAATCTATGGTCTAAACTGGTCTCTCCTTTATATGTATTCCTGTACAATTTTGTGTTATACATGCCACTTATTACATCTAGCCTTGCATAGAAATTGTTGGTATACAGGTATTTTTGGTATTGGATGGAAGATCTTTGAGAGTAGAAATCATGTCTCATGTACTTTATTTACTTCCTACAACATCTGTCATAGTATCTGAACATAGTGCTCAAAAGATATTTGTAAAATGAATGAATAAATTACTTACAGTGTCTTCTACCAAGAACATAATTTATTTACCAACTTTTCCAAGCCTTTATTTTCTTATCCTCACCCGAGGATATTTTTCCATTTTTTGTACAGATAGAGTGGGAGGGAGAGAGAGGAAGGGAGAGAGTGAGAGAAACATCGATGTGAAAGGGACACATCGAGTGGCTGCCACCCGCACGACCAACCAGGGCCGGGGACAAACTGCAACCGAAGTACGTGCCCTTAGCGGGAACCGAACCCGGGTCTCTCCGGACCGCAGGCCGACGCTTTAACCACTGAGCCAAACTGGCCAGGGCCAAGCCTTTAATTTTGTGATAGGTAGGTCTTCCACCTCTACCCTAATCCTGGAAACCCTTAATGATGCCAGGTGCATTTTGAGTGCAACTAGTAATTAGACATAGAATATTGTATCCATGGAACATTTATTATGTGCAGAGCTCTGAGAAAACATCAGCGGACAGCACAGACAGAAACCTCAGCCTCGGTAGTACTTCGCAGTCTAGCTCGGGAAGTACCATCTTAATGTGAACTCTCCTTCTGATATGTCTCAACTTCACTTTCCTATATTTTAGATCATTAACTTAATAATAATATTTGCCACTTGGTTTGCCAGGGTACAAGAAATAATAAAAACTGTAATAGTAGAAGCTGGCATTTATTATATGCCTTAGACAGTTATAGATATCCTTTTTAATATGTACAACCACATGCGGAATTTAATGAAGCAATTAACTGCATTTAGTTATTTTGTTGTCAATCTGGATAAACTGGTGATCACAGCTGTCACTTAACTATACTATAGGAGATAAACCAGTAGACTAGATGCAATATCTTGATCACAAGCTAAATTAAGCAACATCATTTAGAATAGGAATATATGCTTAATAATTGTTAGTGGTTTAAAAAAAAAATAACGTAGCTAGTAAGTGAAGGAGTAGAGGTTTGATTTGAAGTCTGTTTTAAATCCCAAGCCTGATCTTTCCATTATAATCAAAATAATGTTAGATCATGTTGAGTTTTATTCTGAGCACAGATTTATACTAAAATGAACAATAGTGAAGCAAAAAATAAAAATACAAAACAAAAACAAGT